TAGTCCATTTTTTCAATCTCAGCTGCTGCCTCTAAGGAAATATTTCCAATGAAGTCCCATTGGTAATTCTCCAATTTTTACTGAGTAACGCACAGCTGTTGTAGAAGTAGGAAAGAAAAAAAATATGTAATCCATTTCTGGAACAGAAAATAAAATGCAATTTAGTGGATGATTGTTTTCTTAAACAATAATTAAACAGCATGTTCTATTTCCATTTGATTCCAAGCATATTCTTTGACTAATGTTGTTGTCCTTTATAAATAATAAGAATTGCACAATTGCACAAAGTAATCTAAAATAAAATGTTAGTTGAGCTGATAGTAGGCCGGTTGAATTTAAACTCCTTCCCATCTCAGAAAAGAAGTTTGGCTCCTTTGAAGTCCTTGCTGGATTCAATTGTTGGTATATAATGCATAAGGGAAATGATCTAAGGAGATGGGATATAACCTTTCTCTAAAGTTCTGCCATTTTAATGTTCTACTGGGCAGATTTATTTTCCATCAGACTGTAGAATCAATTGGCAAAAAGTAATTTCAAGGCAGCCAAGCAAGACACTGCAGCAGTTCTTCATGCTACATAGCGATGAGGTATCATCCTTGCAGAATGTAAAAAATAATAACAGCTAGAAAGGGACTCGAGATTAAAAATCAGAATTCTTTGAAATAAAAACAGTGTAACTGACTGGATGGCAGGATTCAATAGTTGGTTTGCTTCTAAGAGGAAGCCTAGATTATCACTAGGTATCAAACTGTTCATGCAGAAATGCCAAGGAAACCCTGCACCTGACTCTGCTCTTAAGATTTCCAACAGCAGCCACTCAGCTGGCAAGCTGCAAAAGCAAGACCAATGGAAAAGGGGCTGTGAAGGATTTAGAAATTAGGTATCCTCTGACAGATTGCAGACATGACTGTTTCAGATATGGCCTTCCAATCCTAGCTGCTTATGATGACAGCAAGTGAGGATTAAACACCCAATTTGCTGCTTAATGCAGATGGATTTCAGCCTTGTGCAGCAGAACAGCTGCCAAGGGAAAAAATGAGCAAACAAACCAATGATAGTCTCAAACATAGGAAAAATGTGTCTGGCTCCTAACTCACCAAAGGAATATAATTTCATCCTTGGGGACCCCAGATTTACACAACCAAATTGTATTGTTTAAGTAAGGCTTGCTCTGCTATAAATTGGAGATGACCTTCTCAATAAACATGGAAAAACTGTGAAAGAATTAAAGGAACACATCACAATGCTTTGGCTGGAATTCATGGAAACTGTAGTCTAATCATCTAGATGTCATCAGGATGAGTAAAACTGACCTCACCTATTCTCAACTACCCAAACATAAAATAAATCCTGGGATATTCTATAAACATAAAACTTCTACACTTCCCTTAAGAAGGTCACAATAATGCTCAGATACAACCTTACCTGGTACTATAGATAAGCAACATAAGATCTTTTAAGGAATTCAGACAAAAACAAGTTCTGGCATAAAGTAATGTAGAATGTTTTGGTTCTAACTGTATAATTCTGTAGAGATATTTTTCACAGTTGTATTTTTAGGGGACTTTGCTTGCCAAGTCCCCTAAAATATTTGACATGATATTTTCCTCTGTGTTCTGGCTCATTCAGAGGGTACAAGTCCCTCTGACATTTTGGGATTCTTCTTGTCCAAAGCACTGGCACTGACATCAAGAAAAGAAACTACCTAGATTTCACTATAATGAGCTTCAATCATATTTTTAAGAACAAAATAAATCACATTACCGGTACTTGACTGAATTCTGTCTACTTTGCAGCTTTATTCTCCTTTCAAAATAAATACCAAATAACATCTTACAGCTATATATTTATATTATTTCCAGTGTTTTAGCAACATTAAGATTATCCATCTTTAGGCAAATTACATGTCAAATCATACAAATAAAAACAATCTCAAATTAAAAAAACACTGCTGATCACGGAAGAAAAGCATAATTCTTAGTTTCTAAAAGCCCTGTCAGAAAAGTTATTTCAGCTTTCTAAAAGCTAAAATAAAACAAACCAGATTGTTAGATTAGCCTACATGTGACTACATACAGAATAGTTGATATCTGCATTTGTATTGCCAGGGAAATGATGCCATATGTATCATATATTAACACAAATGTCACAATGATATAATTGTGCCACAATGCAATCTGCTACAAATTAACAAAAGCCCAGTATTCTCGTCCTTTGCCCAATGGCATCAAAATGACACACATCCCTTCATTTTGATACTCTTGAATCTTCTCCTGGATGAATGTTATGGACCCTTTCCTTATACTGTACAGTATACTTCCATTGTCCTCACCTATCAGGAGTATTCAGTTTTGACAAAAAATGTGCAGATATTCTTTTTTTTTAAAAAAATTTTAGGACAGAGTTAATTGACAACCTTTAGATGACCACATATTCGTTTTTGGTGAAGGCAGACTGAGTTACAAAAGAAGGTGACCAAGGCTCTTTTCCATGTGTAGTAAAGCCAGCAATGAGGGCACCTTTTTTCCTGGATTAGATGGAACACGTTTCTGTATTAACTGTTTAAATTGATTTTAAGGGTTGCACTGCATTTTCAAATCATACAAGAAGACTGAAAATATATATTCAAATCTTACAGGAATGAATCCAAGCATTGTCCCATAGTAGACAATTACAAAATTCATGTTTTACTGAAAGAATGAGAGAGAAAAGGGACTTCCTGTTTGCCTGGCCTCGGTGACAGCAGGGATTCGCGTCTCTCCGCGATCCCTGCTGTGCTAGCCGCCTTGGTGCCTCCGATCCTGACGGATTTTGAGGCTAAGGCTGCCCTGTTGGGGCAGCTGAAGATAGGGGGGATCTGGACAGGGGTCGAGAGGTATCGCAAACCCCCTCCCCAGCCGGCAATAACCCCCTTCTCTCAAGACGGTGGAGCGGCGGTCTTAATGGGCGCCATGAAGAAGCCGGCAACTGGATAAAGAATGTGCAGGAGGAAGGAGTTTTAAAACGAAAGTTTTCTATTGGTCAAACTGGGACCTTAAGGACATATTCAACACCTGGAAAAGTATTGGCTTTTTTCTGGTCCCTACAATGTTCCCGATTGATGTTTTCAGCGGCGAAGAAAAGTGATGAAAAGGGAAGGTTACTCTCCCTCCCTTATGGAATTAACAAATGGACAAGGAAAACCTGCTTTTTAATAGAAGGTAAAACCTAAACCCCTTTGTTATAAGTGGGAAGGGAGAGGCTTGGAAAAAAAAAATATTCTAAGACTTTGCTGGAGGAGATGCCTTGAAGATAAAGAGAATAGAAATTAATTGTAAAAAAGATTTAAAGCACAGACTGGACGTTTTTACTTTCCCTAATTTGACTTCACCCCTGGAAGAGAAATTATAAAAAGAAGAAGTTTGTACTCTGCCTGGATTGTTTGATGACTTCGGGATTTTGGGACTTTTGGGAACTGTTTTAAGTTTGGAAATAACTGATTGGCTTAATAAGAAGAGGATACAGAAAAAGAAGAAGAAACAGTTTAAAATGGCTCTATCTCTTGATGAACTAAAAAAACAATATTTAAAAATAAGGAAAGAAGGCAAAGATGTTATAGGAGAAGCCCTTTGTTTCCTAGATATGGCGCTTGTCATGTGTCAGCAAATTAAACAACAGCTGGAAGAAGCCAAGGAAGAAGAAGCCATTTTTAATGAACTAAATGGTGTGACTAAGAAAGAAAGGAGAAAGAGAGGAGCGAAAAGGAAGGACTTAAGAAATAAAAAAATATTTATGAAAGAGAAAAAGAAGATGCAAAAACAACAGAATGCTAGAAAGCAAAAGGAAAGAGGAATGCAACAGAGAGGGGAAACCAAGAAGGCAGAGGTTTGGAGAGGAGGGGGTAAAAAGTTTAGGTGGGCTAAGAAGGAAAGGGAAAAGGGGGAAAAAAGTTACAAAGGTATAAAACAAGATGGAGAAAAGAAAATTTTTTTTAGGGATAATGGGTAATGTATGGGGGTTTTTTCTTTAAAAAAAGGGGGATTCTGCAAAGTACGCATGAGTATTATAATAGTGGTATTTGTATTTTAAGTAGATAATCAGAACTTTTTAAGATCTAATAAAAGACTAAAATATTAAGGTATAACTTTAAAATGTTTAATAATGAATGATTTTAAGTTTTAATAAAATACTAAAGGGAATGTTTAAAATATTAGTTTAAATATAGAGTTTAATGGATTAATGTGTTGACTGTTATGGATTTATTATTGTAGTATTGGTTTTTGAAATAGTAGAATGTACTAAGCAGAATCCGATTGGGATTTAGGTGTTATTTTAAATTTTAATTTAGGGGAATGATAGAAAGGCATCATACTCTGATTAGTGATTCCAGGGGAATCTATTCTTTTTTATATTGGAAATGAGACAGATGTAAATGGAGAAATGGACAAAAGATATAAAAATATTTTTCTTTAAAGCAAGATTAAATATATAAAACAGAATTAAGACGAGGGAAAAGTGGAGAGGAGTTATATAATAGATATAGAATGGTAAACAAGATAGGTAATGGTATATAAGAAGAGCATGAATTCAATTGAAGTCCATACAAAAAGAGGTAATCTGGGGCCAAGTTACTTTCTAAAAGGAAGTTTTATGTTTTTATGTTTATGTCTTATGTGTGTGTGTTCAATTAAGAATTAAATAATAAAATCTCAGAGGAAGACTAGATGAGAACAATTACAAACAAGCCAGAGGAAAATATAAATGTGATGATTGAATAGCAGATAAATTAGAAAGGAAATATGATTGAATAATGATTAAAGAGAAACAATGTGGAATTTGGTAAAGGGAATTTACGTGTTTATATGGAAATGGGATAAATTATAAGTATGTGATATAAAACAATGTGTTACCTGCCTTGTAAAGATTTACAATGGAAAGAGGTTTTATGTTTTTAATGTTTAATGGTGTTTTGTTTGTTTGTTTGTAAAATCAATAAAACTTGTTTTTTAAAAAAAAAAGAATGAGAGAAAAAGAACCTTGGTTGAATGAAACAAAAGAAATCAAAACTGTTTGGAAATCACATGAAAACCATGGGGATAAATAATAGCAGTGAGGCGAGACAGGAAGATCCACTCTGTACACTTGCAGAGTCAATTGTCTTTTGGCTCTTCTTCAATCAGAAGAAGTCTCCATTTGTGATCATGAAGCATTTTTATAATGTAGTACCGTTAAGAATTCCTGCTGCATGCACTGGTTTCCATTTACCCCCTATGTTAGGGGAGGACAAGATATCTCTAATGGCAACACAGGGATCTAATACTAAATTTGGCAGCAAAAGTATCCATTTTCAGCAGCATAATTTTGCAGGATTGCTTTTCTCAAAAATTTGAATCTAAATTGCTGTTCAGTGTGATTCAGTAATATGTCTTCTCACTAAACTGCTTAATTGCCACACAATTTTCACACAATTAACATATAGTAAAGATCAAATCATTTGGCGTCTTTTAATTGTGCATTCTTTAAAACTGCTTAAGTTCTCTTTCATCACATGGGTTAGACAAGCCTCCCAAATGCTCATTTAGGAGCATTGGAAAGAGTGGAAATCAACCAACCAACCAAACAAAATGAAAATGATTTCAAAGCTTCAGAGTATGTGCTGGGAATTACTAAAAGGGTATCGTACCAGAAATAACTTTATATTGTGAAATACCAGACAATATGTTTCTGAACATTTGCTGTCTGGAGAACTTCTCCCACAGGATAGCAAAAAGTGCCATTTATAAATATATCCTTCCTTAGCATACGATTTTACCCCTTCTATCAAAGAATCATTCTGACCCCCTTCCCCCAATCACTAATAAAATATAGCTTACACATTTCTATGCCTGAATATACAGGTGTTACTAACATTGTAATTCAATTCTGTGTTTATTTGAAAGCAAATCCTCCTGTGCTCACTAACTCTATGCAAAGTGCATTTGCCTTCCATCTTGGGTTTACCAACTCATCCATTGATTCCGTCCCTATATAGCAATGGGCAGAACAGCATGTATTTTGTATATTTTTGCACAGTGAAAATAGCTACTTAGGCTATTATTCTTCTCTGCAATTCTTCCTCCAGTTTCAGCAATTTTAACCGCTCAGCTGGAGGAGTTGCAAAATAGGTTTTCTGTTCTTCTGAGTATTTATCTTTTACTTCAATAATATCCCGATAGCTCCAGTCCTGCCAGTGAAAATTGAATTTCTCTAGTAGTTCTATTCTTTTTTCTTCTGTTGGTACACAATCAATAGGGCTTTTCTGCAGCAAGAAGGGTACCTTGATATCTGGGAAAAGCAGAAGACCCCGAATTGCAAACCAACCTCCATAAGAGGGGTGAATACAAACACCATAGATCTTCTGAAATGAAAGAAAACAAGTTTAAGACATGATGCTCAAAGATGCTCAAATCCTATGCAGAAAAAAGACAATGCTGACTCGGTACATGCATCATGTTAATCCTTCGATTGTTAAACATAATACAATAGCTGAATTCACACAACACCTTATGTCTAAAGTAAATAAACTACTGTCAGGATTCTGGCAGATACTCCAATTAAATCATGAGCCTCGAGCCATATTCCCAAAACTGCAAAGGATTTATTAGAAGTTAACATGCGGACATTAGCCTGGGCATAGCCGATTCTGAGATACGTAATTCACTGTCACCCTTGATCCTGCTTTCCCCCCCACCCCTCTGGGTGTATCATCCAATGAAACACGTCCATAACCAAGAGTCATCAATCATGCTCTCCAATTAGATTTTTGCCTGGCAGAAGCTTCAGTCGTCTAATCAGTCTCTGAAGAAAATATGAATGGAAAGGGCATTGGTACTTACCTGACACGCCCATTCTCCTTGAGCTTGCGAAGAGCATCCAGTAGTGGGAGGTGCTTCAGTCTCTGCTTGTTTAGGCTGGGCTTAATTTGCGGAACGCTCCTCCTCCTCCACGGGACTCCTCCCCAGTATTCCCCAGTTTTGGTGAAGATGAGAGAAACAAACACCCTTGCCCGTAATACGGTAAAAATTTGTTGGCCGAAACAGGATCCCACCAGATGGAAGAGGGTGGGGCTGGATGCTCTTTGCAGCTCAAAGAGAACGGGCATGTCAGGTAAGTACCAACGCCCTTTCTCCCACGAGCTGCTCAGAGCATCCAGTAGTGGGACATACCAAAGCTTGGCCTGTCCTAAGGGAGGGACTCCGTCTGTCTTGGGATCCCCTCCTGGTCCTTGTGGACCCATTGCAGAACCCTTCTGCCAAAGGAGGCCTCGGCTGATGCAAACACATCTATTTTATAACACCTAATGAAAGGCGATCAAGAGGCCCAGGTTGCGGCACAACAGATGTCAGTGATTGGTACCTGCATGGCCCATGCTGCCAATGTTGCGGCACTCCTTGTTGAATGAGCTGTTATGTCCCTGGGCACCTGTAGTGATTGAGTCTGATACGTTTCGCTATTGTGGCCCGTAGCCAACAACCTATTGTGGAGGATGAGACCTTGCATCCCTGATTGTTGAGCTGAAAAGACACAAATAAAGCTTCTGTTTTCCTGAAAGAGGCTGTGCGGTGAATATATATTCACAACGCTCGCCTCACATCCAGCCGATGCCATTGTCGTTCCAGCCCTTGGGATGGCCTGGGACAAAAATTAGGACGTATCATTTCTTGTGCCCTGTGAAAGGCTGAATTAACTTTGGGTATGAATGTAGGATCAGGATGAAGGATGACCCTGTCGGAATGGAAGACGCAAAGATCTTGTCTGATCGACAAGGCTGACAGTTCTGAAATACGACGTGCAGAAGTGATCGCTACAATAAAACTACTTTATACGTCAGAAATTGGAGACTTGACGATTGCAAAGGCTCGAAAGGGCACTTAGTGAGTGCAAGAAGGACCTTGTTAAGGTCCCAAGTGGGATAATGGTGAACCGTTGACGGGCCTAAGTTTGTGGCTCCTCGAAGGAAACACTGTATGCATGGATGACGGGAAAGAGATAGGAGATCTTCATAAGTGACGACTGATGCCAAGGCTGCCACTTGTCTTTTCAAAGTATTAGGTGATAATCCCCTGTCAAGCCCCTCTTGTAAGAACTCTAGGATTTGAGCCACAGATGGAGAAATGGGATCAATTTGAGACTTGGTACACCATTTGCAGAAACTGGACCACGTGGCATTACAGATGCGAGTTGTTGGGGGACGTCTGGCAGCTTGGATGGTGGCGATAACTCTGTTGGAAAACTTTTCGCTCTTCAGACGACTCCGCTCAACCTCCAGATGGTCAGGTGGAACTATTGAGGGTCCGGATGTTGAAGGAGCCCTAGGGTTAACAAGACCCTGTCTGGAGGAATTCTCCATGGTGATACAGATAGACTGCGGAGGTCTGCAAACCACGACCGTCTGGGCCAGTAGGGAGCTACCAGAAGCAGCTCTGCCCTCTCGTCGAGCAGCTTCTGGATGACCTTGGGGATCAATGGAAATGGTGGGAATGCATACAGAAGCCCCAGGGGCCAATGGCAACGGAGCGCATTGAAATTCTCCGCTCCTTGCGAGGGGTATCTGGAAAGAAATCTCTGGAGCTGAGCGTTGAGGGGGGAAGTGAACAGGTCTACCACTGGCTGCCCAAACGTCCTGACCGCCTCTTGAAAGAGGGTCGGATGGAGACGCCACTCCGATGGATCTATCATGGCCCTGCTTAGCCAATCGGCCTGTGTATTCGACAGTCCTGAAATGTGTTCTGCTCTGATGGAAATCAGGTTGCTCTCTGCCCAACGACACAAATGCTCCGTTTCTCGCATGAGGTGTTTCGACTGAGTTCTCCCGTTTGTTTATGTGAGCTTTTGCGGTTACGTTGTCAGTCAATATTAATATGTGTTGGTTGCGTACCTGTGGAAGGAAGCTGCGGAGAGCCAGGTGTACTGCTCGAAGCTCCAGCCAGTTTATGCTGCACAATTGTTCTATGGAGGACCAGCAGCCTTGGGTTGTGAGCGATTGAAAGAGAGCTTCCCATCCAATTAGGCTAGCATCGGTGGTGATGGTAAGTCTGTGGGGCTCTTTGAATAGGCAACCTTTGTTTATGGCTGGTCTGGTCCACCAGAGGAGAGAGATGAGGACCTGTGATGGAACTTTGACTTTGTATTTGGAGTTGCTTCAGCCGGATTGCTGGTACGGGAGCAGGAACCACTGGAGGGATCTAGTGTGGAGTCAGGCCCAAAGAATAATAGATATACATGAGATCATCTTGCCTAACAGTTTTGATAGATCAGCTAGGGACACCCTCCTATGAACCCTGATCTCCTTAACTAATTGATGAATGCTGTTTTGTCTATCTGGTGACAGGAAAACTTTGCTTTCCACTGTATCTATGACTTCTCCCAGATGGATTAATCGAGTCAAAGGTGTTAAATGACTCTTTTCCCAATTGATTGAGAACCTGTGTAGTTGTAGGGAGTGTAATGCGGTCTGAGTATCTATGACTGATTGAGGAACAGAAGATGACAAAAATAAGATATCATCGAGGTAACACTGCAGTCGTATGGGGACACCCCAGACATGAGCAGCAAGGGCTGTGAGAACCTTTGTGAAGGTCCTGGGGGCAGAGGGTAGTCCGAAAGGAAGAGCCACATATTCAAAATGGAGATTATTATAACAGAATTGTAAAAATTTATAGTGGGAAGGCCAAATTGGAATATGTAAGTATGCCTCTGTCAGATCTATGGATGTAAAGACGTTACCTTTTCTGACACCAAGTAAGATAGATTGCAGGGTGTGCATTTTAAATTTGTGATATACTAAAAATTGATTAAGGCGTTTCAAATCCAAAATTGCTCTCCACCACCCTGAACTTTTGGGAAAAACGAAAAGATGTGAATAGAAACCTTGCCCTCGTGGTCGGTAGCTACTGGTTGGATGGCTCGTATGTCCAGTAGTGCTGAATAGCTGTCTCCATAAGATTTTGTTTAACCGGATCTCTGGAAAGAGGGCACGACATAAAGTCTGCGGGAGTGGATTGAAACTCCAATGCGAGGCCGAATCTGATTATGACTCTGACCCAGGAATCAGACGTTGAGGAGTCCCATTGGTCCGTGAATAATTTAAGGCGGTCGCCAATGGGAGCCGGGTCCATGGGGTTATCTTGGACGCCAGAAAGATCTATTTCCCGCTCCTCAGAAGGATTTCTTTGGTTGGCCACCCCCTCTGTTCCTATCCCCAAAGTCTGACCTCTCTGGCTGTTGCCCTGGTTGGAAAGGTGAGGGTATCTGGTTAAGAATGGTCCCTGATAAAAGGACCGAAAGGATCCCCTCTGAAAGGACTGAGGGTTTCTAGGGTCTGACTTCCGATAAAGGGAGGATAAAATTTTCTTTTTGTTTCGAGTCTCAATGAGTAGCAGATTGACGGAAGGGCCAAACAGTCTGTCTCCCGCTAGAGGAGATGAAGCGAGCTTGCATTTATGTTTAATATCCGCTTGCCAATTCTTTAACCATAGCAAGCGTCGCGCTGTGACATGTGAAGTAATGGCTCTGGCTGAAAACTTAACTGCATGAAAGGTTACATGAGCTGAGAATTCGGCGGCTGCTATAAGCTTTGCAATGTTTTGGTGTGCTCTACTGTTAGAGTTGGGGACATGCTCCCGTAATAGCCGGAGCCATCTAAGGGAAGAACAGGTAAAGAAGGAAGTGGCTGTGGCCACTGATGGCCCACGCATCAGACTGATGGGCCCTGCATAGGACTAACTCGGCCCATTTGTCCTACGGCTTTAATGCCTCCAGCGCCTCACTGGGAATGGACAAGGATGCTAATCCCACAATGGGTTCGTCTACCTCAGGAGTATTCAACAATTTTAAGAAATCTGGGGCCAAATTAAGGAATTTCCTGTCATAACCAGTGGGGGGCGGGTACACTGCTGCAGAAGCCCACTGTTTCTGTACCAGGTCTGCAAACATGTGAGGGACTGGAATCACGTCTGCCTCGACTACAGGTTGGGTGAAGATGAGATCCTCTGGTCCCTCGTCTGACGGAGTTGGAATGGTAGAAGGGCCGGCTTGTCCAGTCACGCAGTGTTTATGGCCTTGAACAATAGAGATTTGAAAAGTTGTGGCCGGAACAAGACTGTAAATATAGGTTGGTCGGGAACAAGGCCCTCATCCTAAGACATCCCCCTTTCTAAGGGGTCTTCTTCCGACATGGCCGGGTCAGTATCATGCATTGATTCTGATTCACTCTGGTCCATCTGCTCAATGTGTTCCACCTCTTCCGCCTCTTCCTCCTGCTCCTCCTCCTGCTCCTCCTGTAGGAGCATACCCCCTTGAAACTGTACCTGGGTATAGTGTTGCAAATCATACTCAGTGGGTGCAGGATGATCCCTGGTCAGAACCACATGTTGTAGGCCTGCTGCAATTCCCTGACGGATAGCCATCTCCATCCAGGTCTTCATTCACTCTGGCACATCGTCTGGAAGAGATTGTTCCTGTCAAAGACCGGAAGCCGTTGGTGTGAACGTCACTTCGGGTATTCTTCGCATGGTTGGTGATTGAGCTGACTGGGCCTGTTGACTCTGGGGAGCCACGCTGTGCCCGGATGAGAGGGAGAGATCTAGGGGGGTAGGAGGGAGGAAAGAGGAGGATGGCTCTGGACTGTGGGGTGAGGAAGCTTGAGAGGTCCTGTGTGCCTCCCATGTGCACTTATCTATTTGTTTTTCCAGTGCCTTACGGCGCCTGTTGGCATCCTTTTCTGATGCCTTAAAAGTCCCTTTTTTTTAATTAGGATTGTGTTGAGATTTGGACTTGCCCCTTGAGGTTGAGGTGTGTGAACCACTATCCCTTGCCATTTGATTGTGGAATGAACAGTATCCTCGTTATTTAATGCTATATTGTGTCAGCGGTTGGCGCGCCCAGGGACCTGGCCAAGAATGGACAGGGTGCCCTGAAATCCAATCCCCCCCCCCTTTTAAAATATGGATATCTGCTTCAAAATTGAGTTGTATCTCAACAAATAATTTATTATTGTTATGAAATTGCTAGTATTATTATATTGGTATGATTCATATGATTATCTTAGTATTATTATTATCAGAGCGTATGGGTATGCAAATATATATCAAATTTGGATGTCCCAATCAGCCAAATTGAGAATGCCAAGCAGGCCAAATTATCACTCACAGGCCTTCAACAGCTTCCCTGCATAGGCAGACGCTGGCCTAGGTGCTCGCTGTTGTGCCGCTGGATAGGGAGAATTGTGAAGGTTGAGCCAACAACATGAATTAACAAAGGCCTCAAATAGGTTGGAAACGAGGTTGAAATAATTCCTTGGGGTATTTTGTGTAAAAATCCCCTTCACTCTGGAATAAGGATTACCTCACACAGTCTATTGAATTAGCACTCAACGTGGCCACGCGGTCCCTTCTCAGCAAAAAAATGGCAACTGGAATTATTTGTGGCGCACGCCCCAGCAGCAATCTCCCGCCGAGAAAAGGGATAAGCTCCAACAGCCTTCCCTTAGGGCTAAACCAGCAGGGAGGGATGAAAATAACCAGGCGATCACACCTCCACCCCTAAGCGGTGTTCTTGGGGGGAAAAAAAAACACCAACCTACGATACGATTCAGGAGAGAGCGAAAGAGAAAAAAGCCACGCCATTTAAACGTTAAAACGGCTTGGCGATCATAATGGCAAGGGTAGGGCTAGCGGTTGAGGGGGCAGAATGAAATCGAAGCCTCCTTGCGTTTAGGAGCGCAAGGAGCGCTTCCTGATAATGCGATCCCCGATGGCCAGATGACAAAGGCAGTGTCGGTAAGTAAAAGAACAATTGTTAGAAGGAGACGAAATTGACTATCTGCAAATCTTAACGAGAATTGTCCTGTTTCAGCCAAGGATTAATGAAAAGCACTGTCTATCTCTCACAAGGCTGAGCCAAAACTGGGGAATGCTGGAGAGGAGTCCCATGGAGGAGGAGGAGCATTCTGCAAATTAAGCCCAGACTAAACAAGCAGAATGTACAGTACTTTTGATTCCACACTGCTGCTTGCTCTTTGAAACTCTCCCCCATCTTCTTTCTGTTGACAACTATAAAATGTGTGTACAAAATGTTTTATGAGTTGACAACTACATTAAATAGATAAATGGCTACAATGTTATGTTTTTCAAAAGGTAACTGTGGAAGTTTACTAACAGGATTTGGCCTGGAGTTTTCTACTGCAACGATTTTTCAAACCCTCACACCTATAGAAACTTGCCTTTCAGTTACTTTAAGAAATAGTTTCAAACAAAGTTGAAAACTAGTAATGAGAGGTTCCTTTTGTCCCATTATTACATAAAGTGAAACAGGTTTGCATAAAGGCTTTTGAAATCATATATCGCTTTGGAAAAACAAAACAAATTAGGCTCCTATTTGACAGCAGTATACAAAGTAGGTTACTAATTTATTGTCAAATAGTACAACTAGAAATCTATGAATATTAACTTGAAAATAAATCCACTAAATTCAGTGGAATAATTCCCAAGCAAGAATATGCAAAAATTGTTACCGCAGGAGAATGGCAAATTTATCAGACAAAGGGTCATAATTATTCTTGGGGGAGAATATCAGGAACTACTTGTCAAATGGGGACAGAGACAGAGATACCCCTATTCTCCCAGCTGTTATTCAAGTCATTCAGCCATTATACATGTCTACACCAGAATATAATATTTAATAAACAATAAACCTGAGTTCATTGTTACGTACTCTCAGAGAAGTGAGTACTTGATTAGTTCTTTACAGTATTTGGTTGTGAATATTTTTAAACATTAGATTTAATATCTAATTTTTAAATGATACATGTATTTTTATTACTTGATCTTGGTTTTCTCTCAAAAAAACCGAGGGAAGGTATCCCAATTGTTTAATTGCTGTGTTGTTTCCCTACAGGAAAACCAGGACTTACATTTTGGAACTAAAAATTTGCTATTTAAGCTATGAAACAGTCAGGTGCAGAATAGTACTAAACATCTGTTTTCAAAAACAGAAATAATCTAGAAGTTGGCTCTCAACTATTTGTACCATAAGATTGATAATGTAAATACATACCTAATCTGACTTTCATTTGTATGGGAATATATAAAATAAGTGGTCAATTATCAAGCTATAATCCCCTTCTATCTTGCCAACCCTGTTAGACAATCCTTTAGGACACCTTAATATTTATCTGCCACATGCAGTGAAACAAGCTCTCTATATTTTCATTCCTAACAGATCAAATCATAAAATCAAAACTAGTCACACCTGCCTATATTCCAGATGAAGATATATATAATATACATTTATCATTAGAAAGAATTTGAATCCCACAACTTTATTTTTTAAAAAATCAAGTTATTTTCAAAAGTAACTTTTTAAATAATTTATGGAACATTATTAGATGCTGAGAAAAATTTCAAACTTTGGAGGCAAAATGTGCTGAAACTTTAAAATATAATCAGATCCTAGGCAACCGCCACTATTCCACAATGGATGTTGGAGATTTTTATTTCTTTTTACTCCCAATCCATGTCAACATATTTGAAAAACCTAACAAAACATATTGTACTAAAGAAAAATAATTGGTTTACATTGATCTCCAATTTTATAATCTGTCCAAGGGAAGAATCTTGCATTACACCATAGAATTAGATATGTAAGTGCAAGATGCAAGCTTGATAATAATACAAGTGGAATGGAAGAGGAAATCAGGTACATAATCTGTAAAACATACTCGATCCTTCTGAATTGATAAAATCAGAAATGACCCATCAGTTCTCAAAGAAAAAAAATCTGTCCTGCTGTTCTCAATCTGCTTACTTTTTCTCCCCAGGAATCTCGATGTACATCTTTTCTCTGATAGAGGTATGCAGCTCCAGCCACATGTGCTGCTGTTTGGGCCAGGAATTTGGGCTTCCTATTGGGCAGGATCTCATAATCATAAATGATATCCATCTTCTGGTCAGCAAGACTCTGGAAAGAAGAGTTTCTATTACAAGTGAACCTGCAACGTAAAGGAATAGTGGCTGCAGATATGTGTAGAAATGTAAGAAGCATTTCTACAAGCTCCTGCCTCATCTAATGATATGAAATGGTGATGAAGAAGTTACAGCTTCTGGTAAGATTTGAAGTACATGGCATTGTATTGTCTCAGATATCATTGATTTTTAGCTTGGGATTCCAGAAATTATTTCATCAATCCCTTTAAAAAAATTCATAGGCCTTCTCCTGCATAAAAGAAGTAAGACCTTCAATAAGTGGTATATAAACAGTGCCAAAGTTTTTTTTTTAAAAAGTCTCCACACAAAGGTTTTGTTATTTTTTGTTTGCATACATATTAAACTGAGGCAGTTGAATGTTATCAATTTGAATTAACATTCTAAACATTGGAAGGTGGAGAAACAAGAAAAACTACTCTGAAGGGTCAAATTTATTGGTAATTACGTTTGTATAGCACTAACTTAACTATAACTAAGCAAAGTCTATCACTCTATCACAAAGTCCATCTGGGTGGTTATAATAGGTAGATTGAAGCGAACTGAAGCAAAGCAAAGAAAATTATCCTATGCCAGAAACTTAACAACCATAATTGCCTCTGTGTGTAGAAGTAACCACTCAACAGATATGTGTATAATGGAAAGCTGTGTTGTTAAGTTTGCACACCTGTCAAACCATCTTCAAATTTGAACAAAAGGCATAAAAGGTAAAATCATGTCACATGACATAAAGGCATTATGATGATGGAGTAATTTATTTAATTATTTATAAATTTTATTGGCTGCCCACCTCATCTCAGCGTAACTCTGGGCAGCTTACAATCATGTTATTGCTTATAAAAGAATCAAATAATAAACTCCACAAAGTCTTTCTGCCAATTGCATCAGCATATTGTGAGTTTTGTACAAAGATAATAACTAAAACAAATGTCTGAGGCAACTATTTGCTCCACAAATAATTTCCTAAGAAAGTGATATACTTGTCCAGAAAGATAATTTTCTATGTCCCTGTCTCTTATTATATAGAAAAGCATATTTAAGTTGTTACATTTGAAAACAACTTTGTTTTCAAGAATGATGTTTGTTTGTGTCTGCTTGCAGATATAATTAAATAACGTTCATCTTTGTACTAGTTTTTTTCCTCATCAAAATTTCAAATATTTTGAAAAATTATCCTTCATCTTTAGCCAAAAATGAATTAAATCATCTCTGTGTAATATCACCACACGGTTCCTAATCCCAATAAAATTAAAAACATAACCATGATTTCTACAAATTAAAATGCAATCAGAACTATGAAAGATATGCAGTCTCTTTTATTTAGGTTTTTAGTGATAAAAATTTAAATGTGTGCTTCCCTAAAGTGCAACAATGTGACTCAGTGTTTTCTTTTATATTTTTGGCAACTTTAAGATGTGTGGGCCTTAACTCCCAGAATTCCCCAATGAGCTAACCTAATGGGATTACCATATCCGTTAGTTATTTTCATGGACATACCAGAGCAATCATATATGAATTACAAAACTCCAGCTTACAAAGAGATGGCAGCAAAGAGATACAGAAAAGCCTGATTCTTTGTTGTCATTCTAATCTATCTGTGATTATTGGATTCTTGGGCCTGATAAGTGCTTTGTGGTCTGTAAAATGTCAACTATATATTGTTTGATTTTGCCATGTGGTATTCTACTCTTATTCATTCCCATAGCAACAATCTCATACTGCCTTTCAGACTGATAGCTCCAGATATATAGGACTAAAATTCCCTTAATCTTTGGCCAGGACACCCAGATTGTAGACAACTATAGTAAAGACTAGCCAATAAGACTTCCATTTCTATAACAGAACAAATGTTGTAAAATGCTTCAAGGTCCTTTGCTGATTAATTCTATTCATCTAGCTATTTTATTTTCCCAACTCACTCTAAAATATGATTTTTTAAAATTATGACACCTAATAGGAACACAATTAAACAGCTAAATAAAAGACATGAATTTTCAGAGCTAAATATCAAAATAAAAAAATACCTGTATTTCACTGGCATATGCTTAGTGTTTTTTAAAAATTCAAATGTAGTATTGTTAACCTTTTACAAAAAAGCAACTTGTCACTAAAATTGGCCTTCTGTAGAAAGACTGGAAAACAGAAAAAGAAATACTGATTTATTTTTTTAAAAAGAGACAAAGAGTTTGCTAACCTAATTCTATCTTGCCTAAATGTGTGAAAAGCATTATGGTTTTAAAACTAGATATTGTTTTAATGGTATTAAATTTTAAGGTATTAAAACTAGATATTAAGAGCAAGAAGCGTTCCCGAGGAAAAATCAGGTAAGCTCTGCTTTATTAGCTATCAACACTATCAACAAGCATAGCAAAATTGGTAAGCTAGGTATAATATTGCATTAGAGAAAATGTTGATATGTAAGGACAAAAAATTGCATTTATTTATTAGATTTATATTACTATTCATCCAGCAATTCAAAGTGACATAGATAGCATCATGTTTCCTCTCTTTACCTTTTCTCATAGCAATACCATATGAGGTAGAGAGGGCTGAAAAAAGTGAGTGACCCAAAATCACCTAGCAAGATTCTGTGGTTAGGAATGGACCAGAACCTGGGTTTTCTGGTCTACACCATCATACCCCACTGGTTCTCAGAATAGTTCACAGTAGCTGTTGGCTTAGATATGGATACAACTCATAAATATGTTCATCCATTGATATTGGCTAAATGAAGATTTAGACACATTAGCTGAGATTGCTGAACATACAAAACTATGCTATACTTCACAGTTTCATGAATAAGCTACAATTGATCAGATTAACAATAATGCTAAGCCATGCACTAGAGTTCAGGAACAGAGCTCTTGTAGGCTTGCTTATCGAAGCAGGACATCATGATCTGGTTCAGAAAAGGCATTGCCAAACCATGCCAGCATTGTATTTATATGCTGAACTCATGAGTTTGCCTTTGAATAAGTATAAATAATAGGCCTTACATGGATGTAATGGCTATCTGCTGTTAGAATAGGTTAGTGGATTGAGTCTTGCCATAATCAAGCAGGTCTGTTTTTGTATTTGTAATGGAGAAGAGACAAAAAGGGGGAATGGATTAGTCTTACCTCTCTAATCATCGAGAGATGATAAGAAATGCATTGATCCACTGGATCGTGAATCTTCTTCAGCAGCCGTTTCTTTAGAAAGGGTTTGAATGCCTTGTCAAACATAGCAGGAATGCTAAGTACTACAAATGCCAGAGTATCATCAGAGTACCGCAGATGTAAAGTTGTAGGAAGAACCTCATTGTACCATTTTACCTTCAGGAGAGAAGAAAAAAATGTTATTAGAATAGGAAGACTGGCATCTAAGAATGACTGGATGGCTGAGTCTGGATATAGGAAGTTTCATTGTCCAAAAAAAAGTAGCAGTTAATTTTTTTCTACAAGCAAAAGATTAAGGTTATCTTTACTCCATAATCTGGTGCTATGGGATGTATTTAAAAAAAGACAGGTAAGCATACATAAATTGAACATCAGCTGCATATTTTTCCTAAGATTCAGTTTTCCAAAATGGAAAGATTTTCAACTATCTTTCAAGGCCTGGATAGAAACAGAAACGGTAGAAACAGAGAAATGGGAAGCTGGTTTGCATATTAGATTTACCTATTAGGCTAATACTAGAACTAGTTATACAGAATTAAAGTGTGGAGGAGGGAACTAAATAAAACAGTAATCATATTTCAACCTAATTAGCTAATATAAGCTTTTAACAGGATCACTGGTATTCTTTTTGATGCATCTGTATTAATGAACCAAACAGTTCTCCACCACACTGCTTTGAGAATCCAGCATTGGGATATGACTCTGCCCTCTGATGTCATAGAGCTGAGTCTACCACTATAAAAAGCCAGCCTCTACTGAGAGCCCCAGCTTTTTGACTCAGCTCTTGTAATATTAAGAGCTGGAAGCATAGTTAAATCAGCAATCTCCTAACAACAACGAAAGCAAAAACAGTGACTATATACCATCAGCGTAGCTCCCGAGGCTCAGGTAGAGCTATGCTCGTGAGGAGAGCGGGGATCCGTTCTCTTCCGCCGGTCAGCTGTCCCAGCAGGGTGCTGACAACCTGACAATAAGTGCGGCCTCGGAGAGAGCTGCGGATCCTCCAAGCCAGCAAAAATCCTCGAGGCTTGTTCTTTCACTTCTCAGCTCCTTCGTCATTCTATTGAGGTGCGCTGCTCACAAAGAGCATTTACACCAGGAGACTTCCCACGCGGTTGTCTGTGGCACGAGTCTCCCGGAGTGCAGAATTAGGCCTCAGAGAGCCCAGTCATCAGTTAGCCTCCCATGTGGTCCCCCAGCGACACTAGGTCCGTTCTAATTGCACCTTCCAGCTAGTGTTTAGACACAGAAAAGCGGACCATTTTCAGCGTAAGGCAGCGTTTCAGGCAGACAGAATCTTCCCAGCCCAAGGCTCCAAGATTTTAGGCCTACTTGCGAAGCTCCTCATACAAGCCTCTGGCCTCATGGCTGGAGGCCATTTTAGGATCGTGATCTTTCAGGCACCATTTTGATTGGGCCTCAAAGCAGTGATCCATTCTCCCTGGCCTCCATCTCAGAAGGCATCCTGTGGAGGAGCTGGTGTTTTTTCTAGAGTAATGGAGAATAACTGGGCCCAGCCAGGACCATTAGGCATGCAGGCCATCCAGGGCCCCGAAGTCTCAAAGAGCCCTTTAAAGAGAAGACGGCCAAGAGTCCTTTCAGCCAACAAGGAGGCAGCAGCAAAAATCAGGACTAAGACCCTTGCCCCCAAGAAAGCTTCGAAATCAGAACTTAGGGCAGAAAAGCAGAGCATGCTGCCCTAGAAAAACAGTTTACAAAAAAAATTCAGCAATTGCAGGAGCAGGGGTTTTCGCAGTCAGGAGAATCTCAGGTCTACACTGACCAGGCCCCAGGAACTGGGGGGGGGGGGGTGTCAGCTGGGAGTTCAGCAAGCCATCTTCAAGCTTGGTTCCCCAAAAGGCCAGATGAGACCCTTCCCCAGGACCTCAGCAGGTCTGGACCCTGTTTCAGGCCTGCTCGTTGGGATACTGGTAGGCACAATCCTCAATGTTTATTGCCCCAGGGGGGATACAGGCATAGGGCGGAGGCATCTTTTACCCCAACGGCAGCTGAGCTCCATCGCATGGCCCCTCCCCCAGAAAACAAACCCCAAGATATCCAAGCTATGGTCTCTGTGGCAGTCAGGCAGGGCATTGCTGAGGGATTCCAGCAGCTCCTCCACCTATGGGGGGGGGCTAGTATCCTCTCCTCCTTCTGTCAGGGAAACCCCCCTCCTCAGAGGGAAATCTCCAATCCTATGGAGCTCATTTATTCCTCCCATTCCTCTAACTGGGGAGGACAGGAAGATAGAGGATCCTTGTACCACTCAGAGCAGAGCAGATCCTCAGAGGAGGAGGAAGGGATATAGCAATTGATTCATTGTCAGTCGGTGTTAATTGATGGGGTCCAACCTACCATCATATGGTTCTAACATATGCAAGTCTTGTACTCTAAATGGAACCCCAAAAGACTTTTATTACAAGGACTCATCTCAGCATTAAGCTCCAATGAGAAAAAGGATGCTAATTCCTGTTATTACTTCTGTGATGGACCATGTAATCTCGTATCAGAAAAAAAACATAAAGATGCTATTCTGCTGTGGCAAGAACTCATACAGCCAAGAAACCATGGAGAGTAAGTATGCATTTAAATAAAAAATTGTGAGAGATTATTCAAATGATGTAAGAAGTCATGGTTGCACTAATTCATAATATTTACTTTTGATGTAACATGTCATGTTACATTTGCAAATCACTGATTTGGGGTTATGTAAATCCAGCTATTATATCTTATTTAACAAACCACAAATAGTACATTATGTGAACTGACAATGAACAACAGATGAATGTTAAGTGTTTGGTCTCTTGTTTAGTGAAAAATCACCACTTTATACAATCATAGCTTGGCACCTACAATTGGACCCATGGCATGATACACCCATTATATATTTTCCTTTCTACAACCTTCTTCCATCATAAGTGCAGGAAGGAGCTGCCTTTTTTGCCTCTAAAATAATTATTTCTGTCTAGGTTTGACTTTACTCATGTTTGTTACCTTTGACTTTTATTCTTTCTATATTTAAGCTTGCATTGACTTTCTTTCCTAGCATACCATCCAATAAAATTATTAGCATTGAGTCCTAGTAAAGTACTATGCTTCTTTTAATTGCAATCTAGTCTTCCCTTTCTCTACACTGAGGCCCTTCTTTGATGAATCTGAATTCAGAGATGATAGGTGTCTGTGTGCACTCTCAAATATAGGATTATCTACAGAAAGTGCAATGCCAAACCAGGTTGAGTTTCCACAACCCATTAGACAAAATGTGGTTAATTAATGTCTTATATATTTTTATGACTATCTCATTAATCAGTGAGAAGCCAGCTTTTGTAAAAGAATTTAAACCTGTTTAGAGAGCAGTACTGCCTTGCATTTTGATGGCTTCATAAAAAAGCAGTGTTATATAGAACACTATGACTGTGTATACAGTTGATGTTCTGTATTTTAATAGCATAGTTGGGCCTACTCATGTGGTAGGGTTTCTGTAACCAATGCCCTAGCATTTCTATAGGTATTTATTGGTTTGGTTTGGCTAAGCCAAACTGTAATATAATTACTCCATATTATCATTGGCTGGCAACTATTGTGGCAAGATAATAGGGCTGGTTGCCTTGCTGATTTTGAAGCACTGAAATTCTACAGAACTGGCTTCACGTTCCTATTGTTTGCACGATTTTTTTAAAAAAAGTATTTGGCACAATTTGTCGGGCATGTTGTATCCTCTAAATAATTTGGAGAATGATTGCTCATATTTGGTAGCTTATAATCAACTTGCTTGGAAAAATATCTATTTGACTTGTTAGAAAATGCAAATAAGATACTTCCCCTTTAAACCCTTTAAATATGTCTTTTAGCTCTTCAAATGTTAGAAGAGACAACTAGAAACAGCAATTTACCCTGCTGAGATTACTGTATATACAATTTTCTTTTGATTGCCCAGATTATTCAATTAATAGCAATAGCTCTTAGACTTATATACCACCCCACAGTACTTTACAGTACTCTCTGGACAGTTTATAATGTCAGCATATTGTCCCCAGCAATTTGGGTCCTCCTTTTTCTGACCTCCAAAGGATGGAAGGCTGAGTCAACCTTGAGTCCTGACAGGATTGAACTTGGGCAGTTACCTGGCAATACTGCATTCTAACCTCTGTGCCACGTTAAATTATAACTGGGACCTGTATCTATGCAAATAATTTACCTCCTCAGCATCAATGTTTAACTTGCAAGACAGTGCTAGTTGATATTCATTTCCATATAAGCTATTATTGGCCATATCTCCAATTTTATATTAATTTGCATTCCCTTTCAATGCCACAGTTTTGATAGATCTTAGCAAAGCAGCTTCTACAAAGTGTTTATATGTCACATCACACATTATGTGATCAGTAGTTGGCTTAATCATATTTTTGTCAGGTAATATTGAGTTCACATTCTGTGCTACATCTCAAATCAGAAGTCCACAACCTAGAAGTCCACAACCTCATTAGGCCCACAAAGACTTTATTGTAGTTCCCAGAAATCTTCAGAAATTGTTACTAAATTATCATTTTAATATGACAACAGGAGCCAATTATTAACCACATGACTAAACCCAATATGGCACTCTAAAGCCCTTGGGTTTATCCTGTCAGAAATCACCTGTATTAAAGCTTATTTGATACCACACACTAAGACAAAATCTGATAAACTATAAGTGGGACTAAATGCTTTTTATGAACTTGGTTTATATAATATTCAGAACATGTGTTTTTTACGGCATTAGATAATTGTGTAGCAGTATCCTAAGAAAGAAGTTATGATTTACAAATTGCAGCCCCAATCAAGCCACATCGTGGTTCAGAATTCTGTAACCAACGCAATCTGAAGAGACCATAACAACAATAAGCAAATGAGATTTTGTTCCCAATCTAAGCAAAAGGATTCCTTGATATATAAAAAGGATGCTGGATTGCCAAGCAGCATTTGAAATCAACAGTTCACTAGTTTTCTCAAGCTGTGTATCTTTCTCAACAGATCTTTAAATGGAACAAAAACTTCAAAAAGGAAATCCATAATTGAACTATCGATTAAGAAATAAAGCATGACATGAAGTTAGTGATATTAGAGAAAAAGCTCAGAAAAACGAGTAACACAAAATTAATTGCATCTGTGTAAATGAATTGGAGAAAAAATGATGAAAGAGGTAACTTGCCAGTTTGATCTATTTATTATTTGCACCATTCTCATACAACAGCATTTCCTAATACAGGTAGTCCTAAACTTACAACTATTCATTTTTGTCCGTTTGAAGGTTACAACAGCATTGAAATAGGTGGCTTATGACTATTTCTCACGCGATGGTTGCAGCCTCCCCATGGTCACTTGATCAAATTCCAGATGCTTGGCAACTGGTTCATATTTATGGCAGTTGCAGTGTCTCTGGGGTCATGGGATCGTCGTTTGCAACCTGACAAGTCAAAAGTCATTGGGGAAGCCAGATTCACTTAACAAACTGTGTTACTAACTTAACATCTGCAGTGATTCACTTAACAACTGTGGCAAGGTAGGTGATAAAATGGGGAAAACTCACTTAACTGTCTCCCTTAGCAACTGAAATTTTGGGCTCAATTGTGCTTGGGAGTTTGACGACTACCTGTATCTCACCTAAAAATCGCAAAATTATGCTGCAGCAAAATGTTCTGATGCCTCACATATTGTTTCTACGAATATTAAAAGATTGCCTGCCAATTATATCACATATGAATGCCAATGTGTAATTTAAATATGTCCAATCTGTAGAAAAGTACAAAAAATAAATAGTAAATCAGTAATCGCCTTGTCTGTCTCTCTGTCTGTCTCTCTCTCTCACACACACACACACACAAACAAAACGACAGTTATTCCTTAACATTATAAGCACTGCAAAACGTCAGGGAAAGGAAACCCTTTTTAGATAGTATAGCTAAAGAGCTGTATTGGTCTACAGTGCAAAAACATCAGAAATTTGGTAGCACCTTTTCCGACTAACACGTATTTTGTGAACTACAACTAAAGCCTTTCTGCGTGACAGTACAGCGCATTAAAAAGTATATAGCGATCTCTCCCTCCTTAACTGAGCTATCTAGCTCCTAACATGCCCGCGGTACCTTAAACGGGTAAATCTCAAAACCCAGATTTTCCAGGAGATCTCGGATCTTTCTCTCCAGATGGACCACATGTAACTCCATAGTGCTCGATCGCCAGGTCCTATGGGAAATGTAGTTCTCGCGGCGCACGAAAGGCCCTCGCCCACATGGCCGGCGTGGCGAGAGGATGTAAAGCGATCGGGGGCGACTGCCGGCGGTGCCCCTTTTTTGTCTTTCTTCCGAGTGTCCCGCGACTGGCTAAGACAAGCAACGTCTTCGGTGTCTCCGGGACATCCCCGACTGCGGCCCTGCCACTAACGTAATCAACTCGGAGTAATCAACGGGGACGCCCGGATTTTCCCCGTCCAGAAGCCTTCGCGGCGTAGCGGAAGGCGGAATCGGCCAACCTCAGGCTCTTCGCCGTCCGAGGAGGACGCGCTTGAATCGGCGCTGAGACCAGGGCGCCGGGAGGTCGCGGGCGAAGACTTTTACGGCTCTTTCGCTTGCTGGCGGTTCTCAAACGAACGTGAGCAGAACCGTCCTGAGTTTTGGCGGAGCTGAGCGGCGGCTGCCTCGTCCTTGGGTCGTCGCCTAAAAAGCCTCTTAGGCCGGTTCCGAGTCTCCCTCCCCCCCTCCGGATCGCTCAGGTGACCGCCGAGTTTCTTCAGTTGGCTGGGTGCAACGGCCGAGGGTGAGCGAGGTTAATTGGCGAAAGGCGCCTTCCCCAGATGCTGGTCTGGGTCACGGACTCGGCCTGAGGCAGCTTAACTGGGTAATTTCTGAGGGAGAGTCGGCGGATGTAATTCCCCCGAAGGAGGCCGGCTTTGAAGCAGTTGAGGCGGGTAGGGAGGGGAGAACCGTGTCGCTCGTCATCCATTTAAATTTATTTATTGGTACAATGGCTGCGGGCTCCGCACTTCTTCCCTGCCGCTATTGGTTTAGAGGGGGGAAAGCAGGTGGAGTCAACCCGGTGGCGGGAAGGGTAGACAAAAGGGTGGCTGCTTCTTTCCTGTGTGCTCTCAACTTGTCCTCTCTGTCTGGTCTCCCAGGTAGATCACCATGTGGGAGGAACAGAGAAATGAGCATTTCCTGCAGTCCTGGGGTTTTTGTGGGGGCAAGCGTTCCCATTTCTTCTTTTGATGCCTCTCCTTTCCCTCCCTTCCAATTGACATGTGGAAAAACTGGTTTCTTTTACGATTGCACCTTATCAGGAAAATGCTACGTAAATAAAACCTCTGCATGCAAGCCTGCTGGTAAGATGCCAATACAGGACAATTCCAGAGGTAATTCTATGAACTCAGCCAACTAGAAGTTCAGTTCTGCTTTTCCCTGTCATAAGAACATATTTATTGTGTTGTGTAAAGTACTCAAAAAAGAATTTGTTCCCCATTATTTTTTCCTGCATGTAAAAAGAGGTAGCAATACTCAGTTGCTCTTTAGAAAGGAACCCACTTGGATGGTTTTACCTTTTGATAAGAAAGATTGTTCTGAAGCATGCATTTAAAATCTGGATCTGATTCTGTGATTTAAAGAATGCTTGTGAATCCCTTTCCTGACATGAAAATGTCACTGTAGTATTTCAGTCCATTTTATTGAAAGGCATCTCAGATATTAACATTTCTTGTTACAGTACTTGGTTGTGCTGTTTGGTTTGTACATCAATATTAATAACATTTTAAAACTCTTTTCATCCATTGAACATTAAAAGAAATATTTGTCACATATTATTTTGCATAGTTCCCATTCTCCGTCCTTTTTGAGACCTTAAAAAAAGAAAACTGGAGAGTATATGTTTATATTACTTTAACGGTATTTTCTATATTGGGTATGCTTCAGCTGCTCTACAGAAAATTTACAGTGGATTTTATACAGAACAATCTGCAGTTTCAAGTCTGCATCCTGTGATGACTTTGTTGTGTGTGCTGCAATATATTTTTGTGAAGATAACTGATGAGTTGCGGGTCCCAGTACCAGGATGAATCAGCTGACGACCTGCACCCAGGCAGACTGCCTGGGCGGGCTCCTCTTGATGGCAAAGATGACAGCGACACAAAGGTTTCTTTTGGTGAGAGGAAGCGAGCCCAGAGCAAACTTTGCCCCTCTCTTTTATTGTGCAGCAAGCAGGGGGGTGGGTTTAGGTTACATGAGGTTAGACAGGAACAGGAAACACTGCCATATATGGTTAATCCTTATGCTATAGCTGACTCAGGATTTTGTACAGGAACAGGAAACATTGCCATATATGGTTAATCCTAAGTGACTCAGGTTTTACACGTAGCTGTTCCTATAGTGTCACCCTATATATGTATTGTATGTGTATTGGGTTGTCTGTGTACGTGACTTCCTACTGATGTGTCATATCGCAACAGATAACAGAGGAAAATAAACATTTTCTCTGACTGCTTTTGCAGATATTCTTTTTCTAGTAAAAGATTTTCCCAATGGGTAACCAGTGGATTTCTAAAAGGCATCTTTTCCTCAACAGCATGGATTGGGACGCACGCCTCAGTTCCATATTGGTTGAAACAGACAGCAACATGGCCAAAATTAAGGCAAGTTAACCTGCAGAGCAATATATTGTTTTTCTACTCTGTTGGTGAAAAATATTTAGTGCTTGAGTATTCTATTTGGATGCACACACCTATGCTAAACATATACTAAATATGTACTAGTAGATACAAAAACACCTTAAGAGATGTATTCTGTTAAGTGAAAGGATGTTGGTAGTTTCCTCTCTTTAATACTGTAGCTTTTGACTACCAAGCTTTTCAACATTGTTAAACAGCAGCTACTAGGCAGGTGAACAAGTTATAATAAATGACAAAAAGAAAAAGGATAAAGTGTTTAATTGAAGCTTGATTTCTGGTGACTTTGTACGGACATGTATATTCCGGTACAGTTTGTTAGCAAAAGTACATAAGTTGTTTTTAATTGTTTCTTCTAGAAACTCTCTTCAGCTTTCCAAGCGCTAGCCTGGAAAGTCCACAGCATATATTTTGTGATAGTTTCCATCCAAGTACATGGTAACATTGTTCGGCTACATTCTGCCATCTGTATTGAGGTCATATTTAAATACTTGGATAGTGACTAAAGGGACCAGTGTTTTAATGCTCAGTTCAAACAGTAGAACAACATGACAACATTTTGGACAAGCATTGACCTTTACATTTGGATGGAAAATGTAACAAGTGTTGAATACCTCTTCCTGACTTGTGGTTCTCATTAGATTTGTATTGAATTAATAATGTAGACTCCTAGAGACTTATCAAGATTTAAGTTAAGCTAAAGGCTTTCTTCAGTAAAACAGTTGGAGAACATGTGGCCCTCCAAATGTTTGCTGAATTGCAGCTGTCATCAGTGGTATGAAAAAGTGCTGGGGAGCTGACAATGTAGTTTATCTGGTCTGGGTTATCTCAAAGAAATCTTCATCCCTTATATATGTTCATATAGTTAGGGATTTACCAACAAACCATGTATCAGCTTAACATCTAGTCTCCAGGAAAAAAATACTCTTTACGAATTGTAGAATTATGAAACACCTTGCCTCTAAGATACAAAAAGAGACTATTCTAAAAAAAAAACCTTAAGAATGTGGACAATGGACCGAGGCTGTTGTAATGTTTGCATTAGTAATGTTGTATATTTTGCATTGACTGCAGTATAAAGCATCTTGAGATTTTGGAAGTATTATGAAGTAAAAAATAATTATATAATAACACTGTTCATTGACTTTCTTGCTGATGTGGATAAATAAACTAATAGATAAAACACCAATTTCATTCAGATTAGTCCTGTGTATTTTCCTACTCGTAAACTGTTTACTACATAGGCTTGAATTAACTATTTTAATTATATTTAATGTTGAGATGATATATTCTGCATTACTTTATATACTATATTGAGACAGCAGTTACGAAACAATTTTGAATTCTTTTTATGAATAAAGAATGTTCCTTTGAAGTTGTAAATGAGTTATTTTTGAATGTTATATTGAATGCATTTTCTCCTATTGCATGCCAATTAATTTAGTTTAGTTTACTTATTGTCACTGAACATCATACAATGAAATTAAATACCATCTTCAGTGTATCATACAGTAGATTTCAATAGAGTTACTGCCCTGGGATAGTTTTTCAATCTATTTGTCCTTGTTTTTATTATCCTGTACTGTCTGGCAGATGGTAATAGTTAAAAAAAAAAGGTTCCCAGGATGAGATGGATCTTTGAGAATGTTTTGAACTTTCTTAAGGCAGCGGGAACTATAAAGCTCTTCCAAAGAGGAGAGTGGTGATCTTCTGATCTTCTGGGCAATGACGTTAACTCTCTGGAGTGCTGTCCTATCTGCCACTGTGCAATTGGCAAACCATACACAGGTGCAGTAAGTTAAGATACACTCTTTGGTGCAGTGGTAGAAGGTCACCAACAGTTTTTCATTCAGTTGTTATGTTCTTAGAAGTCTCAGGTAGTACAATCTCTGCTGGGCCCTTTTGATCAGTGCTGCAATGTGAGCACCCCAGGTCAGGTCCTCTTTTATGGTATCACCCAGAAACTTAAAACTGGCTACTTGCTCCACTCGGTCTCAATTGATAAGCAAGGGCAGGATGTCTGATCTGTTCCTTCTATAGTCCACTACAAGTTCCTTGGTCTTATTGGTATTGAGGACCAAGTTACTGTCTCCACACCACAAAAGCAACCGGTCCACCTCATCTCAGTCAGCAGACTCATTCCCCTGGAGATCATGTGTTGTATCATCTACAAATTTAGTAATAGTATTACTAGCGTGAGTGGGAATGCAATCATGCACATAAAGAATATAGAGCAGGGGTAGGGAAACTTGGTTCTTTTATCACTTATGGACTTCAACTCCCAGAATTTAACAGTCCCATTCAAGTCAAAAAGTGATTTCCCCCACAACTGAAAAACCACTAGGCCAGGGATGGGGAACCTTTTATGGCTCACTCAGGAATTCTGGGTGTGAAGTCCATAAGTGATAAAAGAGCCAAGTTTCCCTACCCCTGGTATAGAGTAAGGGACTCATCATGTACCAGTGTTAAGAATAAGGTCTGAAGAAGCATGATTATTTAATCTGACCCTCTGTGAGCGGCCAGACAGGAAATCCATAATCCAAAGCCAGATTGAATAAGAAAGTCCAAGGTCCAGAAATTTAGACACCAGTCTATGTGGAAGTGATATAATAAATGACATAATAAAGTGATATAATAAATGAAAACATTATATCTTATACTTTTTGTACCAAGTTTTTGCAAAACTTTAATGATACTAAAGATTCAGATTTGATACCAATTTACAGTTGCATTTGTTTCATAATTCCAAATTGTGTTTTTAAATATATGGTAACTTTCTAATCATTCTTTTTCTTTTGCAGCAACATCTCAACACAGACAATATATCTTCCAAAGGTAAAAATGATCGACATGTTCCATATATTTTCAGAACATCTTTTAGAAAATAGAGATTTTTATAATTTCTTGATTGCAAAAAGTTTTCAGGAAGTGGAAGAAAAACCCTCTTGCTAGAATTCTAATGGTAGCTTTCTTCAGATTCAGGGGAGTATATTTTTCTTTTCTTTTTTTAAATAAAAGTTTTATTTAAGTTTTCACAAAATATACAAATACAAATAAAATATCTTTTTTTGAGAACAGCGTGGCCCCGGGTTATCACTTCTCCATACAGACATACATATTTATACATATTTATCTTATACATTCTAATCCATATCTTATAGCTATTTTCACATTTTTTCAATAGCTTTTCCCTTTCTTTACTTCCTATAGCCTTATTTTAAATTATCTCATTCCTTTCTTAATTCAATTACATATCTTTTTCTAATTTTTAAAATCTTTCTAATCAATGATTTTATGCTTTCGTCTGTCCTGTTTACAATTTCATATTACCTTTTCTCATAAAACAAATTTTCCCCTGTAATTACTAGACTGGAGTGTAACACCTTTGCATCTTTTTTCAAATCTTATTTAAAAATTTAAGTTACATCTTTACAATTATAACATTCATTTTCTAAACTCTATTTTATAACACATACCTATTTTCAATCGAATTCTGCTTGGTACATTCCCTTAAAATACAAACTAAATTCTTAAAAGAAAAAAGTATATATGTATATATATATCTGTGTATACATGTATAACAATAGTAAATGGAATAATTATTCTATTCAAGTACAGCTCTGCCATTAGTATTAATAACAATCTTTTACATTTCTATTTCTTTTAACAAACTTTATCTAGTAATATCAGTTGTCTTTCACTTTAATCATCTATATTTCATATTTTAATTATTACTGTCTTTAAATAAAAAAACCAACCAATAGTTATTAACAGTAGTCAATAACGTTATTATTCTTATTCAAGTTCATCTTATCGACTGATAAAAATCTTCCATGTTTCTTTTCAGTTTTTTTTAAACGTTCTTTTTAAATCATTGAGAGCCTTATTCTCTTTACAAACAAATATTCCACTACACATCAATAGAAATTTTTTCTATCACTTTAATCATCTAACATATTATATAACAATGCTATCCCATGCACCCTTGCAGAATCCTCTCCTTAAGTTAAATTTTAATAATTGTCTCTGTGTCTTTTAAATAGGTTTATACCTTCAATTCTTATACATTTTCCTGTTACCTCTATATCTTGTTTTTTGTAGCATCTTTTGTAGCTTTTTTCCTTTCCCTCTTCCTTCTCTTCTTCTCCCTCCCCTTTTTATTCCCTTTTCTATCTGATTCTCCCTTCTGTGATCCTCCCTTTTGCTTCTTCCTGATATTATGATTACTTTTCAAATTACTCTTTTTTTTTGGTTGTTGCTTCAGTGCTTAAGTTTTTAACTCCCTTTCCCCCTTTCCCTTTTTTACCCCGCTTAAAATTGCTTGGTCATTAAAAATGGCTTCTTCGTTGTCCCGCCCTTCTTGTTCTGCCAGCGTTTCTTGTTTTTTTTCATAGTTCAAGATCTCCATTTCTAAAAATTGAAATACAAAGCCAAAAGATCCTCTCCCATCTTGTGCTTCTTTTTGTTCTTTAAGTCTCATTTTTAACTCTTCAAGGAGTGATGCCATTTTTAAAAAATTTAAACAACCCCCAATTGATTTTATTTTATTTCATTAGGATCCTCCATCCAAAGTTCCAGGAATCATCCAATAATCCAAAAGTGTTTCTTGCTTCTTTTCTCACTTTCTCTTTCCAGGGGCTTTGTTCTCTTGTAACAAAGTTTCAGCTACAATGTATCTTTTGCAAGCCTTGTTAAAATTCCACTATCAATTTTTTTTTTAAGTTCCAGGTGGTCTCCTCCATTTTCCAGATTCCACCCTCTTTTTTTCTTTTTCCCTCCGCTGCTTTCTTTTTTTTAAAGAAAGTTTTTAAATTATCCAAGAATCTTTATCCCTTTTGACACTTTATTTTCAGCTAGAAATAGCCTATTAATGTCAAAGTGGATTAGTATCAATTTCTTATTCGAATCTCTTCTTAATGTTCCAAGTCAGTAAAACTGCCGATGTTAGTGGAAAAAAAGCCAATTCCGTTTCCTTTCCCTTTCTCTTTCTCAGCTTAAAATCTTTTTTAGGAATAGTATTAGTCTTTAAAATTCAGGTTCCAGGTACCTTAAATAGATGTTCTCCATTTAACCCGGTCAGTCAAACTTTCTCCTTTAAACTTCCTCCTGCACAATCTTGTCCGGTCGGGTTCTTCTTTGAGGTGGCCATTTCTGACCACCGCTGCAACTGCCTTTGGGAAAGGGAGTAATGGCCAGCCAAGGAGGAGAGATGCGGCTCTCTTCAACCCTGCTGACAGCTCCCCCTTCTTCACCACCTCTACGGGGTGGCTTCAGCCCCGAATCCGGGGGGCTCAGGGTGCTCCAGTGGCGAGCAAGGATCAAAACCATGGATGATCGCAATTTCTGTCCATCACCGAAGAAGCCCAAACCGGAAGTTCCAGGAAGTATATTTTTCAAGCAAACACAAGATGGTTATGATTTAAGTGTCCTGCTTTAATAGCATTACCGGGCTGGTGTGTTGGAAGCTGAATAGCCATCCAAGGAAAGTATTGAAGCACAGCACCATCTGGAAAGCTACAGATTCCTTATCCTTCAGGCAGAACTTGGTCTGATTTTCTCTGACAATTCTTAATGTTCACTAAATCTAATCATTGGCAGTGCCATTTACCCCATCTTCTAAAAACTGAAATTTAATCCAATTTCCAGGTAATTTCCAACATTACAACATTTTTTCTCTCTCAAGTTTGCAATCTTAAAAAAACAGAAACATGAGGCTAAAGGAAATAAGCTAGCTAGAAAGGAGTTAATGAAAAATAATCAATTAAAAATTACTATAATTAACTTCAGTAGTGGTTAAAGCAGACTACAAATCAGGAGACTGAGTTCTAGTCTTAGTCCTACCTACAAGGCCAATTAATATGAATTTTGAGAAAAAATGATAATGAGGACTAAAAAACAATTTCTGCATCTAAATTTGAACTATGAAACTGACTGAAATAGAAAGTTTCAAGGAAAATATCAATATTCTGACTTCTATGTATTACATATTTGATTCTGTTGCCCGTTTATGGAGTAGTTGTTAAAACGAGGATGAAAAGAAAAAAATATCATTAACTCAACTGGAATTTGTCTCCAGCAATTAAAACAAAATAACGCTAATGCTTCCATGTTTGCAAGATTAGTCTAGTTCATTATTTTTCACCTCTGCAGCTGATTTGTTAATGGGCAGAATAAATATTGGGAGTACTGTTCCGACTCAGCCACAGACTGGACTACCACCCTTGCATTTCACATGTGGAATTCATCCATGCTGTAGAATGGCCAATGAGGAGCTTTCAACCATCAGCCAGAAACTACATTCACAAGCCCAGGTAATTTATACTGACTGGATACATAGTTATTTTCTGTGGGACAGATATAAATAAGTATATGCATACACATTTTGTTTCTCCTTCGTTAAGGTTTCGTGAAGTTGTAGTTTGGTGTTTTCAAATTAATTAAAACAATTTCACCAAAACATGAAGTGCTTTAAATGCTTTAAAACAGTTGAATAATTATGCTCAAAAAAGATAGCTCTGGCTTCCAAATGACTGTTTAGTATTACTAGCCTGATTCATAATGCTAAGTTATAACATAGTTTTTGTTCTGGGCTCTGTGCAGAAAGCAAAATGTATGCCTTATACAATCCACCAGTACTACTTTTGTGGCATCTAGAAATCCTCCAAAATAGACAGACTCAAAATTTTAACCCATTTTTAAGAGCGAATGAGGAAATTTTAGGATTCAGATGGCAGCTTTAAGCTCTGTTGAGATTAAAGCACCTATTTACAGCATAAAGACATTTACCTCCTCCAAAATTGGATTCTCTTTATGTTGCGGACTACCTATTTTGGATATGTTGACATTCATATGCTTCACAAACTGACTGTAGCCTTTGAGCCAAGTAAATTTTCATTCACATTGTTTGGATACTATATGTAAGTTCAGTTATCATAGCTTAATGTTCTCTTGGGCCAAAATATTATGTCTTATTAAGTTGGGAGGATGTAGAACAGGATAGAGGGAAAACTCAGCCATGGAAAGAAGAATTAAATTCAAAGTGAAGAGGAGATGCAAAGGAGGGAAATTATAAATATCCAAATTCTAATCATTTCAATTTTTCAAACCACCTTCTTTCTGAAACTTTTTTGAATATGTAACTGGAGATGTTTACTTATACTATGGCTCTGTTCTCCTTTCTGCCTCTTTAGATTATAGAGTCACTCACCCAAGCAGTTTGTCGGCTCAAACAAGAGAAAGAACAGCAGCAGCAGAGTATCAATCACCTAGAAGGTATGAAAGATTAGCAGTTCTTTTTCCAAAGCTGTTCCCCTTTCTTTATTGTGACATTTATCTTTGAGATAAAACTTCTCTTCAGAATATTAAAGAAGCATAATTTTTAATCCAGTTCCCTTTTCTAAATATTTTAAATATTTAGGATGATTAGGAACTACTTTAAGAAGTTCACCGAAAAGTTCACTCTCTCAGTTGAACCTTGGTGAATTGGCAGGCAAAATATTTACCAGAAGAGAATTCTTGGAAACTAGAAGAAAGCCCTTAGGCATGTAATAAAAGAGGGTTTCTCACAAAATGGAATTAATCTCTTGAGGAAATACAAAAAAAGAAGGTTTGAAGCAGATAATGAAGGAGATTCTAGTTGGAGGACATTATCTTCACAACCTGGTTCTAATTCGCTTGAGCCTATAAAGTAAATAATTAACAATTATTTAACAAAAGCTCGAAAGTTTTCCCATCTTCAGGTATAAACATGCCTTATCAAAACAAAGCTGACACATTCCTTTGAATTTTCCAAACAGCTTCTCTAATCTCAGAAAACCTGTGATTCTGCCTCCCCTGTCCTGGTAAATTTAGTATTTACTATTTATGGTACCTTTGTTGAAATATCAGAGATCTGCCATAATTTTTTTTTTAAAAAAGACTCAATTTCTAACTCCCCAAATTCAGAAACATACGATGGATTTAACATTATTTCATCCCTTTATTAGAAGAAATAATGAAAATTAAAAGAGGTGGATGATAGTGAACAGAGAGTCTTAGCAAAATTCAGAATGATCAGTATTTATTCCATTTATATCCCACACTTTATAAAAACTTGAGTTAATACTAAAATAAAAGCAAAACTGGGTCTTAAATAATGGTTTGAGTATAGAACTATAGTCTTTCTCAATTTTTTCTGATCATGTACTGAATATGAACACCTCATTGGAAGGGAAGTATATAAGCTTCTGTTTGTATTATTAAATGGATACTTTCTTTTGTAAATCCTTACTTTGTGACAATGAAATCTGTACATATCTTCAAGTGCATAATGTATTCAAAAGTGAAAATCAGTTGCTATGGAGAATGGTACCTAAATTCTAAGCTATGGAAATTCTTTTTGCCTTATTTTTATTTCCCTGTTTGTTTCTCCTACAAGTACGATTTTGGAGATTTTTTTTCAACTTGTTATTGAAATGGGGATAAATCAATCTCCAGTGGAGTACTTAACACTAATAATAAATGACACTAAAGCCAAATATTGTTGTCTGTTCTAGCAGCTAGAATGTGTGGCCTGAACTAATTTTATTTTTTTTATCCTGGTTATTTATGTAGGTGAAATGAATCGCCTACAGCACAATTCACCTGGTAGCTTTGAATCATTGCTGGGATGCAGAATGGAAGGGTTGAAGAATGAGCTCTGCAGCCTTCGACAGCATGTGCTTCATCGGTCTGATGGAGATTGTACTCCTGGCGTCATGCAAGATATGTTGGAGAGGTCAGATTTTTGAAATAACAAGCATAAATAACTTGGCAGGATAATATGGTGGAGAACAATAGGTATAGTTTTCTACTATTATTGAGAAGACATGCTTACTGGGATAAACATGCATCCCTATATGTCAACGCTTGAGTATACCATTAGAAGGAATGCAATTTTTCTCCTAATAGTGATTTTAACAATGATTTGCTTGTAATAGATATATTAATGAGATGGCTTATTATAATTAGGAATGAGTGAGCTTGTCTGTCTCAGACATTTCTAGCTCATAAAAAAGCTGGGTAATTTACTATCTCTCAGTGCACTGGAATTTCATAGAGCCTATTTGCTATTTTTTTAATTCTGTTAATAATTTAAATCTTATGTTTGCTTTTTTAAGGGAGCTTTTATTTAGTTCAGAGAACTAATCCTTGTCTTGTTGCTGATTCTCCTGCTTTTCTTCTCATTCCAGTAAAAAAATCCTATGGCAAGAATACGAGTGCATCAAAAGAGAGATAGATCAGCTGAAACATAAACTTGGCAAGTAGTGCTTGAGATTCCTGTTCCTATAGCCTCTCTTCTGCATCAGGCAAAGGAAGGAAAAAAGAGATACACAGCTTTAAAAAATGTATATTTATCCATTAGATTGCCAAGAAGAGGAACTGTACAATCAAGTTTCTGCAACTCATGAGATTAAGAGAATCCAAAACCGGTACTGTAAGGTACAACTATTGCTACTCAATGATTTAATGCTAACAGTGTTATCCCACACATAAAAAGTGAATTCAATCTTTGTCTAATAAAGCTAATCTATATTAGACAAAAAAATGTTGGAAGTGAATGTGGAAGATCACAGTGTAGTTCTTAGCTAAATTTAAGAAATAAATGGAAAAATTAATAATCCACCCATGGCTCATTTGCCCAAACATTCTTTCTTCCTTAAAATAGGGTTTTTTATATAATTTGGGGGGAGGAGCTACACAAAACTGCTGTTAGTTTGGTTGTCTTTTCTTCTAGCATCAGGAACGTCTATGCAAAAATAGGATGGAATAAGAGGAAAACAGATGATCCCGGAACAGTACTATGTTGGAAATGAGCATATGCAGCCATGAATACATTGTATTTTTCCAACTACATAATATAGTATCATGGCAACTGCCCTTTTAGCTTCCTCTTAAGGCTGGAATTTAGTCATAATGTTGTGCTACAAGAGTGTGGATATAATTGGTCAATTTGTTTTCTGTATACTGATATATTTTTCCTAATTGTACAGATGAGTAAATGGGGAACCATCTACCTATAAGAAAAAAATACCCTTTTAATTATTTCTTGTTCATCTTAAAAATTAGATAAAAACCTATATTTACGTCACTATTATGTCCTTTCCAGATGTTGGAAGAATTAATAAACACTCATAAAACGCAGGTTCTGGATTTTGACAAAACAAGGAATGAAACTCAGAACACCCAACAGGAACTCAATGTTGTCAAGTAAGCCATTCTATACTGTGCTTTGTATGCTTTAGTGAATGTGTGTTCATGTAGAGCTTCATGAAGGATTGGGGAGAAGAACATGGTTAAATTCTGATGGTTATTCCTGTAATTCAAAGACAGTGTGATGGTAAAGGGGGGAAATGTCAAGTTAGGGACTAGCAGGCAATTGCCCACCAGGAGGTTCCCTATTTACATAATTAGTTTACCAATAAAAGTGCGTGACCACTTCATGAATTTGATGCATCTAGAGAAAATGGATTGATAAGATAAATTGCCTTTGTTCTGTTCCCTATTACAATATTGAGTCTTTTGCCTTGACCATCAGCATCTGTCAAATGGGTTATATTTCTGACCACAAGCACAATAATATACTTAATTTTTTTATACTGCAACTCTTTAAAACTGCCCTGAATTTAAGTTTGTCTCGGGTTCCATATATTTCTTCCTTTGGAACCAGTACTACTATGGATGTTATTTTTTTAATCAGATCTACAGTGACTGATCTAAAAGAACAGGTGAAATGTCTCAGCTTAGAAGACAAGTATACTACACAAGCCAAGGAGGATAGCACTGATCTGGGTAAGTGCTGGTTTGTACAATATTACAAAATAACAAGAGTTGGAAGGCACCTTGGTGGTGTTTCTAGTCCAATCCCCTGCTCAGGCAGGAGACCCTATACCATTTCAGACAAATGGTTGCCAAATCTGTTCTTAAAAACTTTCAGTGTTAGAACATCCACAAATTCTGGAGGCAAATCATTCCACTTACTATTTTTTCTGTCAGGAAATTTCTTCTTAGTTCTAGGTTGCTTCTCTCCTTGATTAGTTTCCTTCCACTGCTTCTTGTCCTGCCTTCAGGTGCTTTGGAAAATAGGTTGACCCCCTCTTCTTTGTGGCAAACCCCTCAAATATTGGAACACTGCTATCATGTCAACCCTAGCCCTTCTTTTCATTAAATTAGACGTACTCAATTCTTGCAACCATTCTTTATATGTTTTTAGCCTCCAATCCCCTAATCATCATTACTCTTCTCTGTACTCCTATCCACAAGGGTTATACCTGGTTAGAAGAGATGCACATGATCCTTTGTAAAACATTGTATAATCGGGGAAATGGTCTGACATAAGCTAGACACACTAATCCTTGGGATGTACCTTAAATGTAACCTGAACTCTTACCAGTCAACAATACAACATGCTTGCTAATTAGCTATTAATTTATTTGATATATAGCTCTCTTTTCTAATCTGGGAAGTACTCAAAATGAAATGTTTTGAAAAATAAAACCATTCAATAGCCCATGTAAGAGATGTGCCAATGCAGATTTTCTAAATAGGAAGGATGTGAGAGCAAAATGCAACTTCTATGGACTGTTCGGTAGTCTGAAAATAATGCAGGAGGAAGTCTTCTTTGATGTACCAGAAAGGAGTGTCTCTCGCAATGAAGACAAATATGCAAAGGCTCTCCCTACAAGGGTCCTTTCCTATTTTATTTAAAAATTAAGCTAAATTATAGATGTTAACAATCGAACCAAATTATAATGGAAGAATCGGGCCCAAAGCCATTTAAAACTTCAAAAATCAATGTTAGCTGCTTAAATTGTACCTGATAAGCCGCTGGCAATCAACACAAATCTTTTGGTACAGGCATCTTATGTTCCCTGTGTTTTATACTAGTTAGCACCTTGCTTAACTTCTTTTGCTAATGACAAACATTCCAAAGATGGCCATGGTTACTATGATATAGCCTTCTGGTTGCTAGAGAATAGATACCTCTTCTACTCAGTGAGGGACTGTCAAGAGGTGGGGCAATTTTCTAATATCCCCAGTGAATTAAAGGCTGGTAGTAATAAGATAAATACTTCCTATTAGTCCAACTTTTAATCTGCTTTTATATTGAAAAGCAAGCTGTAAATCCATTACTAATTTAAAATGGCAACAATGATAATTAACTATAATCTTTTAACTAGTGTCCTTTAATATAATCTGAAAAATATCATACCTATAACTTTCCTTTCTTTGAATAGTAATGTTTGTATAACATAAAATCATTTCCTAATTACTTCATGATGCAAATTACAATATAAGCAAATACAAATGGTAGAGATGGAACAAAGTGCACTATTGTCTTTCTAATATATTTTTATTTCTTTACTAAATAACATGTTGCTTTAGAAAATAGAGCCTGTGGCTGTGAGTTGCTGCTGGATCCCTGATCTCTTTCATTCTTTTTGTCTGCTAGAAAAGAATGAAGAATTACTGCATGAAGACTTATCTTTCTCCTTTAGTAGTGATGATTCCATCTCTGAGTTCAGTCTCACAGATGTCAGCTCGGATGAACTTTTCAGTGAGACAGAAGTTGTACAACTTGCTGGTAGGCACTACGTTAATTTGAAGTACTGAACTCTGATGTTGCTGCGAGGTGGGGGGGATACTAAATAGATACCTCTTTCTTTTTCCACTTCTTGAAACTTCAGGGTCTATTTCATCACACTGGGGGGACACTATATTTTGGGAGAATAATAGGGTTAACATTCTCTTCCAAGAGATTAATACCATTTCATTAAGATGTTAAATATTCTCATTAGCAGTATTTGGAAGAATGGTTTTCCTAAATTTATTTGGATTTTGCTCTGTTCTAATCCTAATTTACTTTAAAAAAAAAGAAGAAGATGGGCAGTTCCCAGCTTCTGTACATCTGGTTCCACTCCTCCATGCAAGAAGCTTCCAGTACTTTGGAGCTTCACTACTCATTGTGCCATATATGTATGCCTTTAACGTCAGCTAAAAATCCTGTTTTTACAAAAATATACTAATTATTTAACAGGTTGTTTTAAAGCTTTTTTTCAGATGCCCCACTTGCATCACTTGAGGAAAAGAAATCCCACTAAAAGTTTGTACCACCCAGAGCCCATAGGAATTAGGCAGTTAATAAATTAGGTGGTTAATACATTCAAATAAATAAAGAGTCCTCTTGAAAATGTGTTAACTTATTTAATGGTTCATAATGATATGCTAATTACACTTCTTGTACCTTTTAGATGACAAGGTTTCTTTACCAAGTTTGAAACTGGAGAATATCCCCGGAGAGGCAATTGGTGGCATGTTGGAGAGGGAAGAAATCAGCAGTGAATTATCCACCAGTTTGCCTGAGCTGAACTTCAGTGACCTTTAAAGCATCATTTAAGAGCTGCCTCATGCTTTTTAACGAGGAAACAAATTAAAAAGGAAAAAACATAAGGAGTTGTTTTCAACATGCTAAAATGCTTTTGTACAGATATTGCACGAGGGAGGAGGAGGAGGAGGAGTGATCTTAGTCCATGTCCTGTGTCATATTGGAACATCAAGATTTGGTGGGAAGGTCTGGAATCATTTCAATGACACTGTGCATCTTGTTAATAGCTTCCAGTGTCTCTTTCTAGAAATGAAACAATGGTATTAATGAACTCCAATATACATCAAATATGACATATATCTTTTTTTTCCAAAACTTAGTCTGTAACCTAACACAGGCAAGAAAAATATTCTGGAAGTTAATTCATCTTAAACATTAACAAAGCCCATTAATTTGGTCGGTATCTGTAATCCAGGAAGGAAGGAAACATCTACTAAAGGACAGAAGAGCCTATACTATATTACATGTATGAAACCATTGATTTGCCACAGTGCACCAGCAAGTTATTAAGACAAACTTTGCTATATATGGAGGCATGTTACAGTTTTGTGCTCGTAGACAAATTTTCAGGACAGTGGGGCTCAACATGTCTTGTTTAGGGGCAGTTTGAATTATTGGATAATTCTGGGTGTGCCCATCTTGTTTTCTTTACCACTGACATGTTACAGTCATAAGGGAACTAATTTGTCTAAGTGACAGTGTATCCAAGGATACTGATTTTCGATTAGGTGGGGAAGAAATCGGTGTAGCTTCTTAATTATCATGCCTTGGGTCATTTTCAGTGAATGGCAAATGTTAAAATAAAATCTAAGAGTCATGCTGGTTGGGTTCTTATTCAACCTAAAATTAAGCCTATATTATTTAAGTCAATGAGGAAATACGTCAAAGTACACGTGGATTTATTTGTGATGAAGTTCTCCTTAGTTTGCATTGTGTCACTACACTTTTGAGAATAATATTGCAATAAAGGTTACTTTCTCCTTGACAACTTTATGGTTAAAATAATACACACAAGCAAGACATACTTGCAACTTTTAAAGTGAAAGATTTCCAGTTGTGGGAATTAACAGAAAAGTCATGAATGACGTTTGAAAAATAAAGCTACAGTATAAGAATATAACATATTAGGTGTTTCTAATATTACATCTCCTGTCAAATGTGTAGTCTTTGCATTTTTGTTAAAAGTCTGGATTTAATTTATGCAGTGATGCATTCTTATTGATTGGACTACCCACAGATTTAAAAAAACAACTTAAAAATAAGGCACGTTTTCCTCCCCAGTGTTTTAGCTTGTTTTTCTCAGTATGTGGGATTCTCATTTTGCTTCATGGAAATAAAGAATATCGAGCAAATTTTTTGAGACAACCATTATTAACTGAATTGCAACCCCAGAATTCTTAATCATAGAAGGTCCCAGCCTTAGGCATCTTTATAGTGACAAATGAACTAATTGGAATAGATTAATGCAAAAGCTGCTTATCTTTTTCTGAACCATCCAGGTTTGAAGATAAGATTAAACTAATTTTGAATTGCAGCTCTTACAGTTGCATCTTTTTTCCAAGGCCTAGATTTAGTAGAGACCTGCTAAAATTGTCATGAAGTCCTCAATCTTATTCTGATTAATAGAACCCCTGAAATCCCATTGGTATGACATATCAGCATACTGGACAAGGCTGAATCTCTCACCTATCCTGTGTTGAAAAAAAAAGCCTTGAATAGGAACAACCCCAATCTCAGGGTAAAAGTAATTTCAGAAGAGGAAAAGGGGTACAGGCAAGGGAGAGGAGAAAAGGTGAGGAATTAGCAATGAGATTTAAACTGAATAGTCCAATAGTTCAGAGAGTGATGGGAAGAAGCAATGGTTGCTCCCACACTGCATTCGTGACTTGTTTGCTTCAGATTTGGGGAAGCGTGGACAGAAGTCTAATTCAGTGAACTCTGGACGAAACAATTTATCACAATGAATGTAGCTGATTGTATTAATGCAATAAAGCTTGCATGTATTCATCAATAAACTGGACTTTGGTAGAAATATTCTTTTCTGAAGTTTAGTTTTTAAACAATTAGGAGGGATGAGGAAGAGAATGACTAATCCAAGTCCTTAGAGAACATCGATAGGATGGGAGGCACATAGGTTTCTGAAAGATCGCATGCCAAAGGGTAGGTGTCATGACAAAGTAGGCATACTTCTCAGGTTCCAATATTGTAAATGGCACTATTTAATCAAAGAGATCCAGAGTGTGCCAAATATACTGGCACATACTGGCTAAGCTGAAACTATGGGAAATTCCTGAAGTAAATTGGCCCTATGCCTTGTAGGGCATTACAGGTAACAATTGCCTTGAACTGCAGTCAGAAGCAGACTGGCAACCAATGCAGCTGTGGAACAGAGATGCCATATGACATACTAAAACACGTTCATCGTCGCCCACGCCGCTACGTTCTGCACAGGATGGTTCTGAGTTATTTTAAAGGACAGCTCCATATAGAGTGCATAGAAGTTGAGCCTTGGATTGACACAGGAATAGATGGGTGACTATCTGAAAGGACACAACTTGCACACTAGATTGAGCTGAGCGAAGTCCCTTCCCCCGTTGCATACCCTGCAAATCGAGAAGTGCTAGCTCATACAAGAGTATGGCTGGAAGGTCCTTGAATGGAAGGTTCAGGGGGCCCTTATATCTATAACCACTCAATCTTGGAAGGATTAAGGCAGCCATTTCCTTCCTATCTAGGCCCACGCAGCCTCCAAGTACTCAGCCAAGATCTTGGCAGCAACACTTGGATGGTTTGGAATTGAGAGATATAATTGGATATTGATATATTCAAAGTCTAATTACATTTGCAGTGCTGTAAATGACTCAGAATAAATCTACTTAAGTAGGTTTTTCTTCCTCAGCCTTGAATATAATTTACCTTTAAACAAACTTCTTCAATATGTTTTTAAGGCCATGAACTTTCTGCTGTGCAGAAAGCAAGTCATACTGTACTGATACTTTATCATAAGTACATAAACATAATGCACAGTAGGGCTACTATACAGCTAAGATGTGAATGATCACTAAATTGTAGCAAAAATTTTATATTGTGTATCATCTTGTTGCCATCTAGTGGCTATCTATTTTTGTAGCCTGGATCTGATAGCTATACCATAATGCATGCTGCAATGGCAAACAGATTTGGTTGCAATAACAAGAGTTCCTTTTATCTTGATTAGTGTCCCACCCTTTCTAACTTCAAAGGTAACCACTGAAAGTGATTTCTAGTTTCTTGCCAATGAACAAAATTATGCCTGAGCCTGGAATTAATAAAAATTAACCCACAGAAGCTATCAAAGCTTTCTGTCACCTTCAAAGGGATCTATAAGGACTTGGCACATTGCCCACTAATGCTGTTACAGTCTACTTCTTCTGAAGTGAAATCTTGAGTACCATTTTGTACTAGCCTCAGGGAAACTACAACACTAAAGGAGACAGCTGAGCTTAACAGAACAAGTAGAAAATCCTTTGCAGATTTGCCTAGGAATTCCTTGATACATTTGAGGCCTATTATCATTGAAGACCTGAGAAATAGCCTAGTACAGGGACAAGAACCCTTTTTGCAACTGAAGGCTCTTTTTATTTATTTTTGGTTCTGAAGACCATAGAAAGCATGGGAGTGATGCTGGACAAAAAAAATCTCAGCTAAAATCACTGGTCTTGTTTTCAGAAGACAGCTGTTGGGTTTTTAGAAAACTAAGCTTAATAAAAACATTTGGGAGCTAATGTCATTACATTTCTGACATAAGAATATTATATTATTTGGTGACTTCCTGTCTAATGGTTGTGGGGAAAATAGGAGGAAGGAGTGTTAGGTGTGTTCATTGTCTTTAGTTACTTATAAAATAATAAAGGGAATTAAAAAACAAAATAAGGTGATCTTGAAATAAAGTAGCAGACCTGTGATGTTATAGGCTGGTTAAGAATTGACTCTTGACGTTCTTTCATCCTGCAAAAGGTCCACTTGACATTTAGAGATTCTAGTACAGAGTTCCTCAATAAGTTATCACTCTCCGGCTTCTCTATTCTCCATATTAAGGCTTATATTTAGTATATAAACCCAGCTTGTACATGAAAACATAGCAGCTTCTGAATATGATGAATGACATGAATTGTCTAACCTTTGACAGAAGGTGAAGAGGAAGAGAAGGGAATAAAGGCTGCATGTGGCAAATTTCAGATGTTCATGCCTTCCAAATAGTAAATAGCACAGAAAGCTAGATACAGCTTTCAAACAGCAGCACCAATTAGAGTTATTGCACAATATTATTGTTCCAAGCATTATCATCAATACTGGCAGGATTAAACATATACTTAGATAAAATACTTAGAATGACAAAAAACATCTTCTGTGCCATCCCTTAGTATTAAATAAAGAAAAAGCAGAGGGGAAAAGGTGCTCCAGTAGCAATAGCCAAGACTATGCAGTGGGAATACTGAATACCATTAACTGGGGTAGAAGATTACTGCTTTGTCTCAACTTGCTAGAGATATTTGCACAGCCCCATACGAAAATGAATGCTAGATTAATTTTCTTAGTATAATTCAGAGGGCCCTGATTAAAAGGATGAGATCACTATTTCCTTCTGGAACACATTTTAAATCTTGATAAAAACATGAAGTGTAATTCAAAGAAAATAAGAGAGCCAACTTGATATCCCTTGAAGTCACACTTTGGTTGCGGTTTCCATTCTCAAGAAACACACCATATTCCATATATTTCATATTTTTTACTTCTTGTGAAAAAAAGCACCCCATACAGTGTATTTTTTTCAGAATCCAACAAGCCTATCTTTGATAGGAAGCCAGCATTTGAAAAGATTGCATTTTTTTTCTCTAACATCGCATGTATCCAGTCACAGTAAATGAAGATGTATTGAGAAAAAGGTCTTGGTCAAGGTGATTCTCAAAAATAAGAAAAAAAGACAAGCATTTTTTAAAAGTAAAGTTATTTGACTTGCAACTCTATAGTTATTTGCAGGTCAGTATAGCAGCTCCAAAATTGCAGAGTTGCTCCCCAGCTGGAATCTTTTACAAGCTTTGTAGCCTTTTAATAGGTTGTTTGTTTGTTTGTTTGTAAGTCTTTCAACTGTTTAGTAGCTGTAGAGGGAAAGAGGTGTGTCTTCCATCATGTCATCCTGTAAGAAAGAGAAAAACTTAATTTTGTGCTAGCCCAGACATTAATGAGAAAAGTCTAAGTCATGCACTATACATATTCTTAGTGACTTCTGAACCATCCCGTAATGAATCTGAGCTTCTGCCATCTCAAAGAATTACCCTTTGGAACAGACAGACTAGGCAACTAATGTTAAGGTACAGTGGCAGTGAGGCCATATCCCAGACCAGATTCTCATGCTTTCTGATGAGAAAAGTACTATTGTCAGCTGTTTGTCCGAGATTGAGGGGGTGAACAATAAGATATCAACTCACTCCTGTAGCTTTAGTGAGGTTTTTTATTCGTCTTCCACACCACCACAACAGGTAAGAGCGATCAAATTATGTTTAAAGTCAGCTCTGGGTTGCAATGAAACCCAGAGCTGTATTTATACTTGTTATACTTTGGATAACAATATAATTACTATAACCACCTTCCGTCTGGCTTCACTGCCTAACATCCTAAATTAAAGAAACATGGTAACTGCACCTTTCCCCTGCTCGACGAGCCCATGTACCCTCATCACCCCCTTGACATCCAGCCATGAATCATTATTATTACACTACTCCTTGTCAGGAAGCCGATGTTAGTTATTTGACAAATATTCATTATAGCATCCACGTGGCAACACTAGGCAAGTGAAAGAATATGGTCGTATCACATCCTGGCTGTTTCGGCTCCAGTCCGTTCTTTATTGGAGTCGTGACACTATTAGTTCATTAAAGCTTAAAATGGGGAACTGATTTAGATAGCTGCCATGATGTCAACTTTTAGACTATTCAAATAAGGCTATTCCACTGATTTGGAAAAACTCAGCTCCAGCTATAGACACAGCCATCCCTTCCTATCTCCTTGGGTATTCACTAAATATGTTTGCTATTCTCAATACATAATCCTTTACCAATTATATTTGAATGCTGCTAAGGATCGGTTATCAACATTTGCCTTTCTACGTACACATTGGTATTGTGACCTTTGCTCCTCCCCTTCAAAATTGTAGAATTCCTGTTCCCATCTAGAGGAAAAATAACAAAATGGGTAAAAACCCAGCAGATGCTCACCATAGGCAAGTCCTGGAGACGTCTAAACCGTAGTCTACTACTACGTTGTCGATACCTCAAGAAACTCAGGAGAGTCAGAATCCCTACTGTCACAACAAAAATTACAACAACAGCAATCACCAGGGGATCCTTTCCTATTGGACTGACTACTGGTATACTGGGCAGACCTGAAAGCAAGAAGAAGCAGTAAAATGTAGATCATCTTTTAAAATTATGAAGGTTCATTCACCAAGTTACCTGTTTTAACAATCAAAGGAATACATTCAGCTGCATAACCCAAATCCAGCATTGCATTTTATATTATTTATACAAACTTGCAGAGCCTCTCCCAACATATGTTTTCCCCAAAAGGAATTCCTAGCCTAATTTGGAGATGTCAGAGACTGAGTAAGTGATTTTTCCCTTCTTTTTGCAGAGTATATGCTTTGTCACTGTGCTATATATTTCTTCCATAGTTTTATCCAAAATTGGGTTTAACTATTTCTCAGTTCTCACCAACCCATTCAAAATCTGTTGTTCCCTAGATGAGACAAGATTGCTAAATGTATACCTTGATTGTTTCCCACATCAAATGCAGTTGTCTTGTGTTCAGGTTTAGTTGGTTGCTCTGTCTCTGCTGATAGGATTTTGTGAGGTAAGAGAGTAGAGGAGGCAACCTCAAATGTTACTGATCGAGAAGTATTGGATGTAGTTATTGTGTTCACTTGTTCACCAATAGTAGTCCTTGGAGATGATGTGGAAGCAATAGCGTTCTCTTCTGTTAAAACTTTATGGTCCATGACTGGTAGAGTATTTTTTGCTGGCCCCGTGGTAATGAATGTAGAAGATTTTGACTGGGAAGCAGCTGAAGTTCCTGCAGAGAAACATTTAACTGTCAGTAAAGGTGTGTGGGAATCCTAGCTCTACTTAATACAGAAATTTAAAAAAAATCTTACTTTGGCCAGATCTTTTCTGAATGTTTCTACAGTTCTAACATAAACCTTGGTACCGTTGTTAGCAAATCTAATCAAAATTATGTGAATAAAGTAGGTCCACAGTTAAGACTCCAGTCTTGGGAGCAGGTTCTATGAAGATAACTGGGGCACTGTATTGCTGAGTTATCAGGAAAGAGTTTGATGCTATCGGACCTGAGAAAGCAGGTAGGCTCCTCATGACTGTGAACTCAGGCACCTCTGCATTTTTCACATGCGTGTAAATTAACCTTAGGTTGTGCCCCGGACAGCTGCAAAGTGCTGCATGCAGGTGCGCAGTGTTCAAAAAGCCTCTATTTCCCTGCTTTTTCAACCTCAGCTGTGCCGCGCAAAGCTGAGGTTGAAAAAGCAGGAAACAAAGGACAGGTAAGAGCCCGGGTGGGTGGGCGGGCGGACGAAACAGCAGCAAACACAAAACCAGTTCTGTGTCTGCTGCTCTTCAGAGCTACCGGCTCTATAGAACCGGGCAGAACCAGTAGCATCCCATCCCTGGACAAAAACCACGAACAATGTTTTATGCTTTTACTGGCTGTGTATTATAGTTTTTATAATGATTTCATATACCCTCTGGAGCCATCCAGAATTCTGGAGCCCTGCAGAATTGGCATAAAGATGAGTGGCTATATCAATGTTTTAAATAATAAATAATAAAATAAAATAATTGATATGTAGCTGAACGCAAGGTGCTAGTAGTGGTGAATTCTTTCTTGAGTGAGGAAGAATTTGATGTCACAGCACTTTTACATCCACAGACCCAAAATTTGCCAAAGAATCCATGACAGCATTATTACATAGCACACAACCGACCTAACCAAATACGCCAAGATTGAAATACCTAGAATCATGAATCTTATCAACCTCTGCCTAACTATATACAGCTAGTCATGTAGTCCTTGACTTACAACAGCTCATTCAGTGACCATTCAAAGTTACAATGCCACTGAAAAAAATGATTTATTTATGACAATTTTTCACACTTATGATCGTTGCGGCATCTCTATGGTCACATCATCAAAATTCAACAACCATGTTACTAACTTATCAACTGCAGTGATTTATTTAACAAATGTGGCAAGAAAGATCGTAAAATGGAGCAAAACTCACTTAACAAATGTCTCACTTAGCATCATAAATTTTGGGGTCAATTATGGTCATAAGTCGGTAACTCCCTGTACTTTCAGTTCAACTAATAAATATATCAACAAATCAAAGGAACACACACGGGATCACCACTTTCAGGAATAATAGTAGAGACCGTAATGCAATACCTGGAATCAATAACATTCCCATATATATACAACTCAAATATGGATTTGATATGTAGATGACAATCCTGTCACAATCAAAAATGTCAACTAGAGAATACACACGAAACCATTAAATAAACTTCAAAGGAATAAAATTCAGGACCCTAGTTCAACCTTGAGCTACAAATTTTTCCCTTCTATCGGTAACATATTTTTTAGAACGCCGAGGCCACAGAAATAGTTGGCCATAACGCTGCAAATGTAGGATTAGTTTTTTTTTAGCTCAGATGGTGTTCTCTTTTTTTCCATTTTTGGAAAATACAGAGTACCTAATTGTAATCTAATATAATGTTTTTACAGGTTGTGATTGTGCAGATGAATTAGTTGAGTCATCCTGGCCATATTTATTAAACTACCTACCATTCAGGGGTTGGATGCTACCGGTTCTGCCCGTTTCTATGGAGCCGATAGCTCTGAAGAGCAGCAGACACAGATACAGTTCTGTGATTGCTGCTGTTTCGCCCGCCCACCCACCAGCCCGCCCAGGCTCTTACCTGTCCTTTATTTCCTGCTTTTTCAGCCTCAGCTGCTTTGCACAGCACAGCTGAGGTTGAAAAAGCAGGAAAAAAGAGCTTTTCAAATGCTGCACACCTGCACGCAGCACTTTTCAGCTGTCCGGGTGGCACAGCTTAAGGTTTTTTTACATGCGCACGCAGCAAAACATAGTCACCAAACCGGTAGTAACACCGGTCGAATCCCACCCCTGCTACCATGATAAATTATTGATAATTGCCCAGTCTTACCTTGGGTCTCCTTTGACTGCAAAATGTCTGTAGCCGGGACCTTAGTGCTGGCAGTCAGCAAGGATGTGGCACTGGTGTATCTTCTGTCATCATCCAGGCCAAACGTATTAGATTCCGGTAAGTTTGTAGTTGGAGTAAGAAATAAAGAAGGAGCAGTGCTACTATTAGAGGCATTATTTGCAGTCTGAGTCTGTATCCTTGCTGTGGTATTCAAATATCCAGGTATAGTAGTGGTCAGATAATCGGGTTGACCAATGCTGCTGACACTGACTTGTAGGGTACTTGTGATAGTGTCATCCCTACTAGTGGCAGTGGCTTGGAAGCTTCTAGCCTCAGTGTGAGGAAGCGTGAATGGAGAAACTGCTCTGGATGAAGCAGATGATTCATTCTTCCCATCTCCTGGGTACAGGAAAAACAAACAGGAAAACACAATTTGGCAGCATCCTTACAATATATGTCCTTCCCTAGAAGATCAGCTAGAGAAATAAGTAGAAAAGAGAAGAAATAGATCCATATCCAAAACAATTGCTGTGAAAGGGACAACGAATTTGGGAGTAAGTTCTTTCCTAACCGAATTATTTTCAGAAGTTACTACAGCTGACATGTTTTGTACAAATGAAAATTGCCTTCCTCTAATAGAGGAAGCTTAATAAAGTAATTGGGTAAGATTGTGTAGAGATCAAACTGCATGTGATAATCACTGTCATTTTCATGGATAGAATTCAAGGGGTATCAACAGAATTACTGCATCATGAATCAAGTAGAATAATATTTTCCCTGAGCTATGCTTGCAGTTTTAACTATGTTTTGGGCTGTTCTGATTTCCGTAGAAAAACTGAAAATAAAAGAGACCTTTGTCATGTAAAATGTTGCTTGGGGGAAGGGTGGACACCACTTTCAGATTTTTGGAGCATCTGACCCAGATTTCATAAAACAGACTATCATTGCTCTGAAAGACATAAACTAGACTTTGATTTGAGAGTGGAAAAAAGGAATTACATGCAACTCGTATTAATACAAGTAGTAGTTGGCACCAGGTCAGTTTTGCCTGGGCTTAGAAACTAGGCAGGACTGGACTTGATTAGTATTTAGATGAGAGCACTAGGGAATGCCAATTTTTTTTATTAGGCAGACAGAAAACAATACACGCACAAAACCTGGGTGTGCCTATTTCATTCCAGATTAGAACATGCAGGATTTTAGATTAAGTACCTTATTCATTCAGGTTTTCTCTCTGGCTTGAAAATAATATTTTGTGTTGCTCTTTGCCCACCTTATTGACAAACTTGGGATCGGAACAATATTATGATCCTGAACATGAAAACTGGGACATAGCAGTCTTATATAATATGTTCCAAAGCACCAACTTTACAAAAAAGGTCCTCTCTTGATGCAAACTGCAACTAATAGGTATTAGATAAATTAATAGTAATAATGAACCATTCACAGCAGCAGCATCCTAGAGACCACACACAGTGAACTTGTTTTTTAAAATTCCTACATTTACATCCTCAAAAAGTTCTTAATCCTGTGTTCAGTGTGTCCTTTCTCATTTAGAATGCTTCTAAAGAGGACATTGAAAGTCAAAAAGTGAATGGAACTTAATTAACAGTAAAAAAAAAAACAACTACCTCCTTATCAAATCCCAAACTACCATAGGTAATATTTATTTAGAGTATTTGTACTTCTAATATTTATTTCATCATGAAAAAAACCACCTAGTGCCCATTTAGTATTAATTAAATTAAAATATAATATTGTACTACATAGTTTTGTGTACTCACCGTAGGAACAACAGTATGCATTGCATGGCTATGGATTGGTACAATGAATGCTACACTATTTTTATTAACATGTACATCAAATCAAACACTATTGATTTGGGTTATTGTACGTGTTAATCTAATGTGCAGTCTGGCCAGCAACTCCTTAGAGTACATAGGGGCACTTAGAAGGGAGATTGTCTTTATTTTTCAGCTTAGTTTTTGCTCAGTAATAAAGTAACTCTCATACAGTATTTGTGTGGAACACTTCTTCAAGAGTTCAAAACTGCATACATTATCTTCCCCAACCTGGCATTCCCCAGATGTAATGGGTATCCAATTCCAAAGTTGACTGGGAATTTTGGGAACTGCAGTCCCTATGGGGGTGGGAAGATTGAGAAAGGCTGATGTATATGATAAACCCACTGTGACCTGATAAAATTAATATTTGCCTGCATATCTTACATTTGCCCAGAGCATTTAAAGAGTCATGTATCTAAGAACTTTAAGGGGAAAGTGATATGTTTGCATGGCAAAATATTTCAAGACACTCTTTCATTCATTTCTGTGCTTCTACTAATATAAAAAGTACTAAGAGCACAAATCCAACACATTAATTCCAAGCCAAGAACAGAAGATTTGAAGCCCAAGAATAAATATATTACCTGAGCACAAAATATCTAAAAAGTGTTAACAGCAACGGAAAGAAATATATCAATATTTGTCTAAAAGCCTTATAAATGGAATAAGTTATTTCAACAGGATAGTTAAGAAGGATTCCCTTCCATAATCAACAATTCAGAGATTGTATTCCTCAAATCTGTTTCTGTGTATATTGTATCCTCTTGGAGTGAACCATCCCTTTTATCCTCTTGGAGTGAACCATCCCTTTAACCATCCCAAATCCACACTGACTATATGTTACACACTGCTTCCAGTATACTTTTCAACACTAGAGCGGTGCTGGGAATTCTTTCCTAAAACGAATGAGTAGTTTGGCATTTTTTTTAATAAGCATAGACTTTCTTCTAGCATAATTAGCGTAAGAGGGAAAATTATCAGTTGAATAATCTGATAATTGATTAATCTGTTAGTGACTACAATTTAGTAAATTGTGGGAAAAGGGGTGAGGAAAAAGGAAGAAGATTGTAGTCCACAAATGTTTTATACTGATCTTTTTTCTATTCCAACCTCATTTTATGTTAGAAGCTGATATTATTTGCAATATATACAATCCGACAAAAAATACCAACAAGTATTTTACAAAGGAAGATAATCCTAAATTTAGACCTGGTCCTAAACAAAAATTAGATTTAAAAAAACCCCAATCTTCAATTTTTCTCATGTTCTCAGGTAATTGAAGATAACCATTCCATTTTTAAAATTAATTATTTGAAAAAATCTTTCTTTCAGCTAAATACATCATCTTCTATCTTCAGAAAAAGGTTCCTAAAAACTTCCAGATAATAAATGCTCTTTATTGATTCACTTATTAGCATTCATTATAAATCTTTCGGAGAAAATATGACAATAAACTAAACCTTAATTTGGTATCATTGTCACTTTTAATATCCAACAAAGTTTTTGACTATAATATTTTTAGGAAGATGAGATACCTCTCTGAAGAATCTTTATCTGAGACAGCAGATGACAGGATAAAATCCTCCATCTTCTCCTTCCCAAATGTAAATTGGGAAGTTCACATTTCCTAGTCAAATGAATTTGAAATCATACATATGCAATATGAAGGTAAACACACTTGACTTTCTTGCATGACTGTTATAAAGATTACTGCAATTAAAATCTGAAAGTGCCATAAACGTGATATTCCTAACGGATACTTCAGAATTTCCACAGAATCTTTATACTGGGAGGAAACGCACAGCACCTGCCCTTGGCTTAGACATCCATATTTTCTCCTAAAACTGAAAATATTTCATTGCACTCTACAATCAGCAAAACAAACATTAACATCTAAACATGTTTACATTTTTAAAATTACAATGAAGATGTATCACTTGAAATTTAATTTAAAACATCAGCTTTTGTTGAGCGTGTTTTCAAGAGAAATTACATTCATATATTTATGGTGCTACTGCCTTTTCACTTTTTCCCCTTTTCCTTAATGCAAAGAAAAATCAAAATGCTTAATCTATGATGATTAATTTCCCTTTGCTACAATCTTAAATTTCTTCAAAAGAAAATCCAACTATGTCTAATGTAATTTACTTTTGGGGACAAATCTAGGGCACTTAATAAATTAGTAAATCTAGGACACTTGTGTCTTAGTGTGGGGGAAGATACACATTAATTTTGTGGTTATTGTTGAAATCTCAACTTTGAGCATTTTGACATTCTGCATAATCATTAAATTGATAGAAGCTGTACATCTCTGATTTATACCGTGTCATTCTTAAATAAAGAATCTGGTAAGATAGCAGAAGTATAGTCATATGTAACTATTTTAACCTTAATCAAGAAACATTTGTGATGAAGATACATAATTGCAAATGAAAATAATATTTTCATTAATATTTATATCTATATTAGCTAAAATGTTCAAATTGGTAATTATGTTATTAATTCTTCTGTATCTCACTATAAGTGGTGAACATAAAAGGAAATACTGTTCCACCCAAATCTAAAATCTCAGTTTACAAATTATTTATATAAAGCAACCAAAATAATAAAATCACCCAAAATATCTCTACATTTACTCTATTGACAAATAAGAATTAAAATATCAGTTAAGTAACTCTTAATCAGTTAAGTAAAAATGCCCTCATCTATTTGCATATAATTTAAGGTATGTTTGTAACCTTACCTTAAAATGGCTAGGGTGGGCATGTCAGTCTGGCATTTGTGAAATGAGACCTTGAACATTTGCATAAAATTCTAAGCTTACCAAACATACAAGAATTAAAGTATTGAAGTAGCATACAAATCTGAGTAAATAAATCCATGAAACTGAATTGTTTTTAAAAACATCCTCTATATATCTACCGGGATAGAGATGCTAATTTAATTGATACTATCAAAGTATGTATGAAGTACAACACTGTACTCTGGGATGCAGCCAGCCTGGCTCTAACAAAATTATTTTGATGTGTTCTCAAAATCTCTATCTTCTATAGATTTCCCTCATTTTATGGACTCAGATATTAAATAAACATATTACTCTATTACCTAGCTAATATAGGACATATAAATGCCATTATCAAAATGCTATGGTCTTCTAAATGGCCTGAAACAATGATAAAAAAACTACCTTATAACTAACAGTGCCCGGAGCCATAGAATTATGAGTAGATGAGAGGGAATAGTTCATTTGTCTTCACCCATGTGGTCCTTTTGCTTTTCAAATCAGTGCTAGGAAGCTTGGATTTAGAGTTCTGAAGTGATTGTCACTTTGAACCCCAAAAGAAAGGCCCTTAGAACAGACGTGCTTTATGCCTGAATTCCCACAACATGCTTAACTTGTTTACTGGGTTCTCCTTAAACATACTTATAAGCCAATCAAACAGGTTAAATTTACATAACATGCTAATACATATACATATGCACAAAATCAAAGTTTGTGAGTTCCGAGGCTAGGTATGTAACTGGTAAGTACAACTGCTGGATTTATAATTGACCCAGATAGGTGTATTGTAAAAAATACACCTCTTTGGGCAGAAGTTTTACCTTCCCATATTCCATCTTATTAAGATGTCCTGGACCCCCCAAATCTTCAATCTGCAATCAGGAAATGCTTTGAAGAAAATATTCTAACTCTGCAGCAAATGCACCGAAGAAAGAAAATTGTGGCTTCCTAGGTAGCAGACGTAAAGAAAGCTAGCAAGCAAAAAAAAAGCGAGTGATGAGATTCTGCTAAGTAGTGTAGATAAACATATAACCTGAGTGGGAAAGAAAGCAAGCCAGGTTTTGAACCAGAGATCCCACCCAAACTGTTCTGAACCTGGCAGTCTACTTCTTAAATATAGGAATAGAAAGTAAGAGCATTTCTGGTTGTATTTCAGAGTGTGTTTCCCAAACTACTGTTCTGATCAAGCCTTATTTGAGTTCCCAAATGCTGTGGTGGTGGACGTGGCAGCTTCAGCTCTATCACCACTCACTTGGTAAACAACAAGCCCAAGCAGTGGTGAGGACCTGCATCAAACCTGGGACCTTCAGCCCCGGGGAGAAGAACTGGGTGCCAGTCCTAAGGAAGGACACCCCACAACCCATCACACTGTGAACTAAGGGAAGCCTGAACTTCTAGCTGGCCAATGAATTAGCTCCTCCAGGAAATTGAGGCTGAAAGCGAAACAGAGAGAAAGGCTCAACGCAGGAAGGAGAGCAATGGCTTCTTAGACAGCAGAAACTTTGGCGCGTCCAACCCAAACTGGACGGGCAGAGTCGCCAGGGGGAGGTCTGCCAGGGACTTTTGCTTTTGCAATGGCTTCTCAGGTTCCTCAGGAGTCTGGGATACTTCCAACGGCGCCTGCTTGCACCCGAGACCCGACCCTTTGAGAAGGGATGGAGCGAGCGGCGCACGTACCTGGCAGAGACAGGAGGCTTCCAGCGAGGAAGCAACAAACGGCCGTGAGGTTGTATAGGGAGCGACGAATTCCCACCATGGTGGGCCAGCCCTAGCGGCGATCGGTCGGGGCAAGGGAGGGAAAAGAAAGAGAACCGCCGCCCCCGGCAGCGTCTGTAAAGATCTGGTCCTGGAGCGTGAGTCACTGCCACGTGGTTCATTCGCAAACACAAGGATGGGACTCGTCGGGGCGTGTTGCGGCCTCCCCAACTCCTGACAAAACAGCCCGGGTTCTTCAGTTGTCCCGCATCGTTCGCAGAGCCCCCTGCGAAAACAAAAATCTACCCCACGGACTGGGGGCCGCCCCCTCTCCCAGCTGAAACTCCGAAGCTGATGCTTTCTCCGCAGTTGACCAGAGTTTTTCTAGAAGAGCAACAAGAGGCGGCGTTTGCCTGGTTGGTAGCGCAACACTCCGTCCCGCTGACAAAGTCTGGGAACAAACCGGCGGCGCTTGCGGGAACAGCTCCGCCCCTTCACCGTCGGAGCCAGTGGGTCAAAGCAGACCATCGTCTCCTCCGCGATAGGGGACGGAATGAGCTTTGAGAATCTGTTCAACGTTCATCCGTGCTGGCTGAACAAGTCTGGTTGCCCTGCCTGGAGAGAGAATCCACGAAGGAGAATCCAGAAGTAAAGTCCGCAGATCTGAAAAAAAAGTCTCAGATTATATGCTTACCTTTTCTGAGCTGACACGCCGAAAACCAATATAATGCTCCATTAAAAATAGCACCTAACAAGTTTACTCAACTAGATGGCAGCACATAGCTCATTCTGGGGAAAAAAACAACATTGTCAGATCTTTAATGAATACATTTGTGGCTGAAAAGCTCACTAGCTGGCTAAAACTAAACCATTTGTCATAGAAAATGTAATTTATTTAACCCATTTAATCTCCAGGTAATTATTAAAATCAAGCATTCCTTTGCATTGAAATACATGTATAATGAAGGGAAGGATTAATTACTACTAATTAATAGAATTGCCAAAGGCAAATAAGCTTTACTGTAAGGCAAATTGCATTCTGAATACAGAAACCTGACTTTTTGGAAAAATATGCATTTTGGCTATTCTGCTATGCCAGATTAGAGATTAGTTTACAATTATTATATCAAAAGCATACGCCAATATGAGCCATGATGAATCATCATGTGCCATGACATCAACACACAAATGCTGCAAGTTGTATAATTTGTACAGGTACCAAACCTCCTCATAATATCCTAAGAATTACAACTACTCTTAATATTAGCACAAACTATATTTGAACTAAAACTTTATTCTATGTCAATACTTATATTGGCAGTGTATTTTAAAAAAACCCAGTCTTGCAGTAGTGGTAACTAAATTAAAGGAAATATTGACCTAAGGTTTACTGTGGCTAAGTGGCTGACAGGTTATGTCATGCAGACCAGATTAAACCCAATTAGATGGATTAGTTTTTATGCTGTTTGTTATGCAGAGCCAGTCAATTGGCCAAATGCAGTAAACCATAGTTTAATGTTGTGTGAATAAACCTACTGAATAATTTAGCCAACCAGATTTTACTTACCTAGTATATTTTGTCAAAGTAATCGCTTTTAAAGAAACAGTATTGACTATCTTAAACAGACTTAGGAGCTCTCAAAATATTACTGGATATTGTTGTAAATAAAGCTGAACTGAGGGGACCATTTCTATCCTACTGTTATTTATCTGTTCAGTTTGTACAACCTTCCCACTAAACATGCAACTCTGAGCAGAGTTGCAACTCTAAACTCTAAAATCCAGTTAAAACAACAAAGCCACTAGCAAAAATCAAAATCCAATGAGGCATTTTATTTTATTTTTCTTTTTATGATCATTTAATCCTTTTATTCAGGGTGGAGTTGCAGCGACTGAATTGAATTGTTTATCAAATGAGGCATTTGATATAACTATATAAATCACTATATAAATCAACCCCCCAAAAGTGAGATCATCTAACTTCTTGGCACTAAATCTGAAGAGAAAAAACAAGACAAGCAGGATGAGAGCCATCTTGGATCTCGGAAACAATTCTACAAGGGAGGCACAGTCAGAAGATAGATTTCCTAGATCCCATCAACCCACTTCACAGGATTGTTGTTATGGGGAAAACAGGAGGAAGACAGAGTATTAGATAAGTTTGCTACCTTGAGTTATTTATATAAATAACAAAGATGGTATAAAATACATTTAAAAATAAATAAAAATGATATTTTTAATAGAAGGACATGTCCATCCTGTCAGATTTTATGGATTGGGCAGAAATACCTGCAGATAGGCTGTTCTGCAAATAATGTGGCTCTGTGCCTGAAGGGCTCTCTAAATACAACCAGCATCTTGTATTGAAGAAAATTACTTGGAGCTAATACAGCTCACAAAAAAATGTTATATGCTCATATTACAGTGTGCCCATAATTTGTGCTGCTGCATTATGGAGGCAGATACAGCTTCTGAGTGGTGATTTGTAGAGGTTACTTGTAGAGCTCATTGTAGTAATCGGATAGGAGGTAACCAAGGTATGAGTGAATATGAGCAGAACCTCCCATCCAGGAATGAATTCAGTTGGTGCACAATATGGATTTGTATAGGAAGTCACTTAGCGATGGCTGCCATCTACTCTTTAAGAAGGAGCCAAGCATTCTAGAAGAAACCCCAAATTACACACCAGTTTTGTTTGGGAAAGCCCAACCTAGTTCATTACTAGAAAATAACCAGATCTAGGGCAGGCCTTAAAATTATAGCCATTCAGGTTGTGGTGACTTGCATTGGAAGAAAGAGACTTAGGCTCCACCCTAGCAAGATCCACAGATGGCAATCTGTGGATACTATTGTTGGAAGAAATATCCTTCTGGGTTCAGTTCCAAGTGGAGAAAAAGACACTGGAAACATGGAGGCTGTTTGGAAGGTTTAACGGTGGACAGGACCACATGGCCTGGAGCTCCTGAGTGAAAAGGAAGGATGATCACATGCTTCAAGGTGAAAGAAGAGATCAAGAAAGGACTGATATGCTTAGAGAGCCTGGGTTTTATAACCTTTGTTGGGATTTGAATTGGAGCTTGTATTCTGATTGGTTGTCAGACTCCCATGGGGCCATGCAGGACAATTCTGTAGGCTGTCCTGAGTTCCAGGCTTGATTGAGCCTTGATGATGCATTGAAAAGGGCTTTTGGGCAATTGCTATAGTTTTACCTGGAGATCTTTGTTATGTATTCTGTCCCAGGCCTTAATGGCCCACCCATTAACAAAGGTGGGGGTGAGCTTCTGCTTCTGAGATGAGTTTCTGCTTCTGAGTTTCTGCCTTTTTAATATTTCCCAGGAGATTTCATTTTTCTAGGAGAGGGGTGAGTGCTAACTTCCTACACTATCAAAGCAGAAAAATAGTTATATTTTGATGTTCTTTGTACTAGAAAGTACCATAATCCTTAAAAGACTCCTATCGGTGTGCATGTTTAATTGGATTTGATCTTCATCTTTTCCTTGTAACATTCTAAGATCTCTTCTGCCCTCTTCTGTCATTTTATCTCTCAGTTTCTTTGAAACCAACAGGCCTCCTTGGAACTCATGAACACATAGGTAGTAATCTGTTTGATGGCTACTATCATTCTGAAAAGGAATTGCTCTGCCAGCATTCCCCAGTTAACACAAACTGCTTTGAGAGACGGAGATTTTGCAGACCTAACATTAATTGTCAATCCTTATTTCAGTCATGTCTCATATTTTCATTCTTTCTCACCAGCTTTGTTTTTGCCTTTTATCCATTTCCATTTAAAATACTTTTTTCTATTTTAATTTCTAAAGAAGTAGAACTATAGCACAAAATGTTAGGGATTTTCATTTTTTGTATCTTGAACTTTTGAAGCTGTTCACTAGTTTGAACACAAGATGTCACTCACATGTTAACTTTTATTGAATCACAGAGTGATACATTATACCTATAAATGTTAATCTATAGCTCAGTTTCCTGGGCAAAAGTTGCAGACACACACCCAATTGCTATCCTGGACAAATTTTACACTTTAATTAGAATATATTAATTTTCCCTGAACAACATAAAAAGATTGGAAACAACTGCTCAATACTATTTCTGCCAAGTATTTTACTACACAACAAACATTTTGAGGAATGCTTTTGGGTTTTAAGGGGGCCCTAGAGAATTCAGCAGAACTGTGTTTTCCAGTTGTCTCTGTAAATAAGCAATGATTTTAGACCTTCCAGTGTCATTTGTTTTCTATATTGCAAATAGGGAAAATTCATTCCACAAGAGCATTTATGCCAAGCTTCTACTTGGAAAATTATACCAGAAGGCCATAAAAATGGGCATATTTCCAATATCTATGATGGTTTTGGGCCAAGTGCTCATGTGCTGGCTTTTTTTCTTCTTCCATTTGGCTATTTTCTCTAGAAATATTTATTTGCACATATCATTATCAAATAATTCTGTTTCATTGATGTTATAGTTACAAAGCAGAAACAGCTCAATTTAGTAGGTTTAAATTTAACTAGTATTTGGATGGGAGACTCTAGGGAATACCAGGGTTATTCTGTGGATCAAAAATATATCCCAGAAGACAATGGTAAATCACTTTTGTACTATGGCCAGAAAAACAACATGGTGTGTGTGTATTTAAATAACTCATCAGCAGGAATTGTTCTACCTGTTTCCAAATGGGATCTGGTCCTTCAGGGCCCATATGAATGACTGCAGCTCATGGAAAAGTGCTCTCCCCACCTTTTTTAAAAAAAATTAAGCAACATGTACATATTTCTGGAACTGGTTTTCTTTTTAAGAAAAGCCTTGACCTGCAGCTACATGAAACACATTCATCTCTTCTTTTAAACAACTTTTCTTTTCAGGTCTTTCCATTTCATGACAATGTCTATCATGCTGGTATTTTGTTTTCTATACAGTAACCAGTATTGTGTTGTTGAACAGAGAACTGATTGTACAGAACCAGAGCCAGATTTCACCAAGAGTCATCAGAACATAAGTTTTGAGAGCTGAAAGGATTTTGCTTGTGCTGAGGAGCTGCAATATTCCAATCAATAAAATCACACAATTTCTTCCAATGGGTAGTTCTAATGGCACAAATATGGAAGTACTATATACTTAGACTTTGGTACAATGGCTCAGTACCAAGAGGTACTTTTTTAGCAATAACTGTACTGCATTTGGGGCAATATAGGCTGACAACCGTCTCCAATTAAAGGGTTTTCAAGGATTACTTCTTTCAGTCCGGAAAAAAAAATGTTCCCCCCACCTTTTAGTTTATTACCAAATTGGCAATTTTCTCACAAAATAATAAGCTTTACATTCCATTCTCAAGTCTGGAGAAACCAACTAAAAATCCAGTTTTATTTTAAATTACTTTGAACACACACATATTCATAAAATGAGTAGATGTATAAAATGTTTTCTGAAAAAACAGACATGGCATGGTGATGTAAATAAAAGCAATTCAGGAAATAAAGCATTAATCTGAGAGAGTAATTATCAGGAGAGCAATCGCTCCTGCAGAGGCTGAAACAGTCAGAGGAATGGATACACCCACCCTTTTCATTATGCCACCTCAAATAGAAGAGTCCTGGAAGTAGTCAAGGGGGTATAAATGGTGAAACAAGCTCCATACCTTTTACACATATGCTGTGATATTGTACACACTTATAAACTGAGCTTGCCTTGTGATGGTGTGACACGTTTAGTTATTTTGACAAAGCATCGGACCCTTTGTTTAAATATATGATTCAATATGGAAGTCTTGAGGAATACTACTACAATGAATAGTTTTTCATGAGCAAATTGCATTGGATGAATGAAAGCTCCATGGATGAAATGAATCCTGCTCCTAAAATGCCCCAGTACAAAAGGCACCCACAGTTTAAAGACACCGAGGAAGGCAAATCATATGATTAAGGGCATTTCCCCAGTAACAAAGGTTTTAGCAAAAAGGAAGTTGTCCTGTGGCAATTTTGCTTTATTACTGTTCATGGGACACAGAGGACTTTCATGAATTATATCATTTCCAAAAACCATTAGTAATTGTTAGTGCGCGCGCGTGCAACACTGTAGCCTGTTGCAAAATCTGTTCGCCTACCAAAAGACTCCGTGCAGCAAATTTAGGAAGTATTTGCCTTGGGCAGCAAACAATTCACTCTGCCTCGGTTGACAGCTGAATTCTTCCCTCCTTGTGCAAACAATGTAGAACGCTTGCATTTCTCGCTTTCAATGGCAAACTTATTCTTAATGGCTTGACATTCCGCAGTATTCCCCATCCGCCTTCAATCGGTGCCTAACCACACCAGCTCTCTCTTCGTCCCGCCCTTTCGCTTGCGCTCGCTCCGAACTGTGGTTGCGCTGAAGTCAAACTGAGCTGCCACTCAAGCTCTCCCCCACCCCCCTCCCGTTCTCTTAACCAAAGCGGCTCTCTCTCTCTCTCTCTCTCTCTCTCTCTCTCTCTCTCTGTGTGTGTGTGTGTGTGTGTGTGTGTGTGTGTGTGTGTGTGTGTGTGTGTGTGTGTGTGTGTGTGTGTGTGTGTGTGTGTGTGTGTGTGTGTGTGTGTGTGTGTCAATCTTCAATTCGATTAGCTACCTTCGCTGCCTATCCAACAAGAAGCTCTCTCGATTGGTGGACATCCGCGAGCAGGTCCCGCCCTTTTTCGCCCTGCGGTGGCCTCCAGCCAGCTCTGGCGATTTACTTTGGGCTGAAGGGTCCGGGGAACTCAGCTGGGCGCGCGCCCGTCCTTTCTTTTCTCTGTGCTGCGGATCTAGGTTGGGGGGCGGAGTGCGCGGTGTGGGGGGAAGGGCCCTCGGCCGCTGCGGCCCAGGTTTGTGTAACTGGTTCTTGTGGAAAACGACCAGTTGCTCCCTTCGGTGTCCCATTACCCTGCCTGGGGTATCCACCGCGGAGCATTAGACCGTCTACCCCGGTTGTGTCGCGCTTCCACTGTCCTCCTGGAAGGCCTGGGAATATGTGCTGTCCCTTGGAGTGCGGGACACGCCGCCCCTCGTTCTCCTCTTCGAGGCAGGTAAAGGCAGCAGACCGATATGGCGAATCGTAATGCCTTATTGTCGAGGCGGAGGGGGGGGGGGGGGGAGAGCGGGGGTCTTTCCCAAGGTGTGCAGCGAAAGGGAAAGGAAGCGGGGCTGGGTGGGTTCTTCTGAGCCTAGCAGGAACAAGTGAGTGTGAGTGTGTGTTTGTGTATGTGGGCGCGCGCGTGCGCCTCCCTAAGTTTTGCACGCCGACGTTACAGAGGCGTGAGGATCCGGGTGACTTCCTGGAGGTCAATACCCGAAGAATTAAGACTTAGATTTACCTACAGTTTCTGCAGAGAACGTATGCCAGTGCTCTGAAGGGATCATGTATGTTGGTAGTACGCTGTACTTTTAGCAGAACTTTGTGTAACTTGTCATCGGCCCTTATGTTGTGCCCTAAAAAGTGATACCAGGCAACTGCCCAGTCAAAGATGGAGTAGCTGACACCTGGATGGAAGTTGTTGGGGACAGGCAAAAGAATAACTTCCTTGTCTTTACCTCTCTCTCTCTTTTTATTTTCACTTGTATCTGTTGCACACAGTAATATTTTGCTTGGCTTACCTTCTCATTTAGGAACCACTAAATCTTACTGTGCGTTATTAAATAGAGCCTGTTTCAGTGGGTGTTTTGAAATTATGGAGTGGATACTATTAAGTGTCACTGAGTCTTTTAAGATTTGTGGCTTCAGCTTAGGGTTTTTCATTCAATATAGATAGACATGCCCTGAATGGAAAAGCTGAATGTTAATTGGAAGTTTTCTTTTGTCCCCTTTATGTTGCACAGGGATTTATTTGTGCATCTATTTTGATGTCCTTTAAATTACTGCAGTCTGTGCTTCTATAATGTTCTCTGAATGCAGCAGGTTTTTTGTGTATATAATTGGTGGAATTATCTCTTGTATATTAAAAATCTGCCTTTCACAGGAATACAAGCATGTTTTCGGGAGGGAAGCAGCTTTCATACCTGTTGGATGCTTTTCAGTATTGTTAGACGACAGGTGCCATTATTTTTAGAAAAGGCTATATAGACTGATAAATGTGAATTTGTGATAACCTGATTTCAGATATGTCTGATTTAATTTTTATAAATAACCTCATAAACTATTGCTATCTAAAATATTTTAAAATATACTCTAAAATATTTTCCCAACCTGATGTTCTTTTCAATTCTTGACCTCAAAGCTCTTTTCAGCTTCATTTTGATACAGAATTCTAATCCCCATTTAGCACCATAACTGCATTTTCCCCATGTTGAAAAGAATGTATGGTGTTGACAGGTAGAAAAAAAGATACAACATATTCCAATTTACTGTGCTAAGTGTGAAAATGTTCCCAATTTACAAAAGAAAATGGCATGAATATTTCTATAAAAGTATATGGATTTGTAAGACTTTTAGTGTATTATATTTTATAAATTAGAGTAAAGGTATTAAAATGGTGCTGACATAAGAAAAGGAACGTGGTAGGCATTAATGATGCCATAGACTTTGAACGCTATCATGAAAAGTACAGTATGGTTTTTACAAATTAGCTAGTAGTCATTAAGGCATTAGTCTAGAAATGGGGAGATGCTGAGGTGTAGTTTTCTTTGTGCACAAAACCTTGGGGTAGTAAGTCTGTGTGCTAGGAAGCTGGTATTGGCCATTTCCAAAAATATCACTTCCAAAGAAAAAACTTGCCAAGAAAAACTGCAGGGACTAATTCAGACAGTTGCCAGGAACAGAAACAGGCTCAAATGCACCTCCCCCAAATAAAATAAAAACAAAAAACTTTTATATGTTTTATTGAAGATTAAAAAAGATAAATATGAAAAATTAAAATTAAAAAATGAATCACTAAATTCATTTTATAATTTTCTAGAATATTATAATTAGTTGTAAAAAATTGAAAGTATTACATCACTCTACCAAACTAAAATATAGTTTTCTAGTGTTGCAACATTTTGCTGTGTAAACCTTATTTTTTTTTATAAGGGAAGTCCTCCATTTTTATGAAGATCAAGCTAGTAGTGAGAGAAGTTAGATTAAAATAGGTATCAGAGAAGATCAAATTGGTTTAATTTATCCCTTAACCGTAGTCAAGAATTCCATGAAGTGTAGAAAATCACTTACTTATATTTGCTATGAAGTGGTACAATGATAACTGCATCAGGTCCACATGTGCTGAATCTTCAACTAAGTATTATAGACACTACCTTCTCTTCTTCTATTTAGACCATATGGTCTATCCCTTTTCTTCAAGTATGATGTCAAAACTGATGCTAGCCAGGAAGTCCATAGTGGGATGAGTCAGGGATTCATCTGCATTAAAGAAATTCCCATCTGAAGCAATTGGAGATTTTTCTACCAATGTATTTTGTTGCAAAAAAAGAGGAGACATTGAGAAGTACACTAATTATTTACAGCTGACCTCTGGGTAGAGTTCTTTAAAACAGCTAAAGGTTGGTAGTTGCTGAAAATGGTCATTTCTTCAGTTCTTAGCTTTGAATTCTAGTTCTCCTGGCCTTGCCTTACTTACCTGAACTTTTACACTTCAGTCATCTAAATTGGACTTCAGACTTTGTTTCCAAATTACATCATCATGCTTTGATCTGGCTATCTCTGTAACTATTTCTTGGGCTAATTAACTCCAATCGGACACCCTTTATGCTTTTGATGACTTGGTAATCTCATTGAATTGAACAGAGTCGTATTTGAACAGGCTAATCAAACAACAGTGTAATTGTTTTGCTGATTATATTTTGGTATACTATCCTTCCAGAGACTTTAGGAAGTGATAGTTCTTCTTTCTGATAACTTTGTGATAAATGAGGGCCCATAACCTATTCAGCACATTGCTATCAGAATGGGGAAATAATTTCACATCTAACAATTCACATCCAATTTCTTATCTAATATAGTGACAACTATGTTAATGGAAAACAATTTTAAATCAATATGAATACAGGCTACTGATAATTTTGAATACTGTCAACAAGATGTTGCTGTAAATTCAAGTTGATGATAACCCTTCAATTCAGATGTACAGGTAATGCTTGACATACAACCACAATTGAGCCCAAAATTTATGTTGCTAAGTGAGAAATTGGTTAAGTGAGTTTTGCCCCATTTTACAATTTTTCTTCCCACATTTGTTAAATGAATCACTTCAGTTGGTAAATTAGTAACATGGTTGTTAAGTGAATCTGATTTCCCCATTGACTTTGCTTGTCAGAAGGTTGCAAAATGTAATCACATGACCCAAATGTAAATCATGTGACCAACTTGTCATAAATGTGGAAAATGGTCATAAGTCACTTTTTTCAGTGCTGTTGTAACTCTGAACAGTCACTAAGCAAGTTGAGGACTATTTGTATTGAGGCTTTAGCTCCCAGCCAGCATACGCAACTCTGAGAATGTTGTCCCTGCATCTTTGGAATATCCTCACTAGTGATGGTATACATAGTGTATGATTCAAGTGCCATTCTATTCTAGTAGTATTTTAAAAAGGACAAATTTTGTTTCTTTAAAGAAACAAACCTCTAAGAAGGACTACTTTGTTAGTGCAAAGCCATAGAGAAATACTAGCAACTACATTCCTATGACATGGTTCTAGAAGTTTATAGTAGTTAAAACCATATTTCTGGCAGTCTTGCAAGAATGAATGAATTACTATATATGTGTGTATGTGTGCACTAGTAAACTGTTCTTATTTAAAATACTTTGGCTGGGGGAAAGTGCATATATGAACTCCATCTAAAGAGGGAATTCCTGGGCAAGTTATTTTCTGGCTTTTCTTTGGTAAACTGTGATGAAATATTTGTATCATGAAATTATTTATAATGAATTTCCACTAAGCTACTGTGTATAGATAGTTGATAGTCAAATAACAGGACAATTCAGATGGAAAATTAGGCTGATCTAATATATTGTGGAATAAAATCAATCATTATTTTTAATTGTTGAATTAAGTCTTTGGAGTTCTAGTGCTTGACAGTCTTTACATTTACAAATGTTTAGCAAAGACTTTAACATATTGACAAATGCTAGTTGTGGATGAAATTATATCTCCACTAGTCACAATAGTTTAGTAAATCATGTACAAAGTAAATATGTATTGTTACCTAAAATGGAAAAAATAATTTGTGGAACCTCCTCCTGGACTCACTTATTTTTTGATTAAATGTCTTGAATAAGCATTTTTTTCTTTTTTTTCATCTTAATTTATCCTATGTAAATTACACACATTCTTTTTTTTAATAAGAAAAGAAAAATAAATTTAATTTAATTAGAAAAAGAAAATGATACATTAATGGTTTTTTTTTTCATTTTTAGTATTCATCCAGAGGAAAAAAACAGAGATCGACCACTTAAGATGTGAAAAGTGCTCTTCTAAAGGATTGTTTTTACAAAATGGATCGGAGTAAACGAAATTCAATAGCAGGATTCCCACCACGCTTAGAGCGCATTGAAGATTTTGATGGAGGTGGCGGAAGTGATGGGACCATGTCCCAGATGGGCAGAGTTTGGACTTCTTCATATAAAGCCTTGATAAGTGCCTTTTCAAGACTTACAAGACTTGATGACTTCTCTTGTGAGAAAATAGGATCTGGTTTCTTCTCTGAAGTATTCAAGGTGAGTAATAACATTTCCATATCTTCTCTTTAATACAGTAATTGGAACAAAACATAATGAATACTCTGTTCTATATAATATATAGGGTTACGGCATTTGACTGCAGAAATACAAATGACCATTAATGGTGGCAAACCTTTTTCTGCCATGGGATTTTTTTGGTTTTTGCAGCCTACGGTAGTCTCTCCTTGAAAAGTTTTGAATATGAAAAATTCATTGTGTGTCAAAGATTCTAAATGAAACTATATAAAAACTTTGTTGAATAATTTATCCACAATATTTTTAGAAACATATACAGTACATTTTATTTACCTGTTTAACCTTCCTTTTTCCAAATAGAACCAGTGATTTGAATAAAAACATAAAACAGCAAACATATAAGTATACAGAACAAAAATGAAATGTTAAAATGTAAATGGAGAATACAAAAAAATTGTATTTTAAAAAGCCATAAAGGAGTTTTTAAATGCATTTTGAAGGTAATCTAATATAGCATTCAGGTAGGTTTCCTTCAAGATAGAATTCCACCTGTAAAAAATTATCAAAATAATTGCTCATCAGCTCCTCCCCACTGTAAGGTTTGCTATGGATTATGACTGCTGATGAAGTTCAGACTTATAGTTACCTCTGCTTCACTATAGAAAACAAAGTAATAGACAGTGGTATCCAATACCCGAAGTTATTTTCTTAATACATCCTCTATTTACCTGAAAACTAGAAAAAATGGAGATACACAATCAATACTCTAGTTTTAAACGGACATATTCAACTTTAAGTGCCACGTTAGTCTTCACAAACATTCTGTGTCGTTAAAATTCAAAGTGAAAATCCAGGTTAAAGAAGTTGCCTTTGATTTTTGACTTTTAAGTTTATTTTTAATAAGGTATCCATTGTAGGAACATTCACTGACACAGTCAATTAAACTCTGTTTATCTAAGGATAATTTGAAAATAAAGCCACATTTACTATTCATTTTCTAGATGGTGGGTGGGTAGGTGTTTATACAACTATACAGGTTTTAAATTAAGTAAGGGTAAGAGACCTACTCAGGAGAGCTCAGTCCCTCTCCTAGTATCCTAGGCACTGCAGTGGTCACTAGGTAAACTTTTTAGGCTTGATTTAAAAAAAAAAATCCTTCCCCAGGCTGGATTTACACATGGTGAGACCACAAGGTATGAGAAGCTATATTTGGCAAGTACTAACAGAGAGTAAGGCTATGTAATAATTCAACTTATGTTACAAACCTTATGCTAGCAAGATGCATAACAAATTTGGGGTGGTGAAGGCCCAGAAAAGAAGGTATGAATGCAAAAATAAATCGATTAGGATCATGTTATGGCTTAATTTAGGAGATTTTCAGATATAAAATTAGAATAAAACCGTAAAAAATGAAAAAAAAACACCCTGAAATTTTGAGAGATCCTTTCAGACTCCAAGGTCCTAAGATATAGCTTGCTTAATTTACGCATAAATCTATCCCTGTCCATCCCTCATGATATGGATGTCATATGCAGAATGGTGGAATATTAACTGTTCTTCAGTTAAACTAAAAGCAATGAAGACAGTTGCAGGAAGAATTAAAATTACAGCTACTCCTCACTGATTCTGGATTGAGAGCTGGAAAGAGGAATTGATCATTGCTTAACTCTCCTGTCTGGGTTTGAATAGCACGTGAGACAGGGTTCAGATCAGTGGTGGTATTCTACTGGTTCAGCCTGGTTCTAGCGAGCTGGTAGCAGCGATGAGCAGCGGAGAACCGGTTCTCTCCGCTGCTCTGTGTTAGACCCACCCACCTCCCATATTCACCTTTATCCGTTGAATTTGAAGTGCAGCTGCTTTGTGCAGCACAGAATAGTGCCACATGACAGCTGCTGAAGCGACTGGGGTCATGCAGGCTTGCAGAAGGTGAGTTAGAATGCCTCTGCGTCTGCGCAAAGTGCACGTTTGGCATGTGCGTGCAAAGCGTGCCCACCAAGCCACCCCCACCAAACCAGTGGCAACAATATTTGAATCCCACCAAAGGTTCAGATGAATGAAACATACTATAAAAATGATTGCCACTTATAACGAAGGCTCCCTGTTTTAAACCCAGTAACATATCAGGAGTCACTTTGGGTGACACCATATGAACAAGCCCATTGAAAAAGATGTGATAGGATGAGAAATAGATGGATCTTGTCCAATAATTGGCTCGTGTACTCTTCCCTTTTAGCTATCTATTTTAGATACTTAAGAACATGTAGTGTTTATTTTCTCAGGGGCCAAATCCCAGATAGGAAGGTTTTGTAGTCTGGAAAATTAGTTTCTTTGTGGCTAATTCACAGAAATATCCTCTGTATGATCGAACTTACAAGGAGAGATCTGTTAGAAGCAAAACAAGTACAGTTGATAGATGTCCTGCTGTCAAAATGCATTGAAACTCATTAAAGCTCATATTAGGACTGCACAGAAATAAATACCTGGGGTTTATGTTTTAAATATTTAGGATGGCTAGATTTAAGACTAAATGATTTTTATTATAACTTGATCTGTATTTAATTCTAGTAACGTTAGTTAAATTGAGCCTTTAATTATTCTAAGTATGCTAAGTTTGTCATAATGTATTTAAAAAAATGTTACTGTTTGAATAATAGTTCAATCTTCCTTTATTAAAAGCATGTTTTAATATATTTCATCATAGTTATGTGACCTTTCTGTAGTCTGTCTTGCTGATATATCTAATGAAGGAAAAATAATTTTGAAGCAACCTAGCTGTAAAAATGAGACTGTAGAATTTCATCTGTTTATATTCTGATATTTAATATAAACCACAGCCTAATTTTCTGTGAAAAGGGAAGAGGAAGAATATAGTAGAAGACAACTGTGGCAAATAAAGATATGAGAAAGGAAACAAATAAATAGAAAAGATAAAGTAGCAGCTGCAGAATAATCATATGGCATAAAAAAACTAAGATAAGCAATACATTTCCCAAATCCAAAGAGTTTCATTGTATGCATTAGTGTTTTTTTAACCTGGCTCTTTTAAGGCTGCTCTTTAAAAATGTGAGATAAAGTTTAAATACATACATACATACATACATACATACATATATATATACTATATACAGTCTCTCTCTCCCTCCTTCCCTCCCTCCCTCCACTATTATAAACCACTAACCACTATTATAAAAACTTATGAATTTAAATTTCATACAGTAATTCAAATTTGATAAATATTTAATTGTAGACCTGTTTAAATTTCAGTTTTTCGCATTCAGTTGATTCTAGGAAACAATTCTGGGAAACAAATACCTTGCGTTTCAACCAAATTAAATGTAGTACCATAGATGCTCATAGGGGACAGTGTGAGGAGATTTCATATTGGCAGTTAGAACATGAGGTTTATTGCTGTAAACATTGTGTAGCCACAGTTCCTTGCTGCTTGTGCAAATTTCTATGAATTAGCTTTTAAAACTGGAAGTATATACGGTACTTCCTCTTACTGTATACCTAGCTTGCAAACAAAGAGACACTTTTTTCAGAGTTCTATGTGAGAAATTCTACTCTAGACTAATTAATTGAAGTTGGGTTCTGTTGTAATCCAATATATCAGCATTTTTAGTGAAACTTAAGTTACGTCAACTTATTCTGTATCTAAACCTATGTACTATCAGTTATAATTACATGCAACAATATGTTAAACATAATGTGTAAGATTATTTTAAAAATTAGTTACAGTATTTTTGTCTCTGTTGTTTGCAGTATATGCATTTGCTGGCAAAGTTTAATGCTTCTTTTTTAGTTCTCACTAACTATTAGATAAAGATTTATATCTCAGTTTGATTTAGTTTGAAAAAAAAAACCCTTTTCCCTAGGTATAGAACAGGTGACTTCCAGGATAACTTCCTTTCATAGGCATTGACAGGGGTGGGATGCAACCGGTGTTACTACCGGTTTGGTGACTACGTCAGAGCTACCAGTTCTATAGAGCCGGGCAGAATAAGTAGCATCCTACCCCTGGGCATTGAACTTGGAATTTGGTCTCAAGGGAGTGAGTGGCTCAGTAGTTATAGGTTTGTATTGTAATCATCATTTAGAATTATTTACCACACAGTTCCATTTTTAAAAATTGTAATGGAAGATCAAGTGATTACAGTAGAAATGATTTAATGATAACATAACCTGTGGCTTTGTTTCATAATTAAAATAATTATGTACATCGTTCTCTAAGCAGCTCAGAGTCACCTTGAATTGCCAGATAGGCGGCAAATACATTTGATAATAATCATAAATGTGATCATATTTAGTGTGATCAGTAAAACACTTAAAGCAATTAAGTCCTAACAATTTAAGAATCAAAAGTACAAAATAAATAACCCAAATGCAAAAAAAACCCAACCAGTGAAACAAACAAAAAATCCAATATAAAAAAAAATTAAACCCCCCAAAAACAGTCCTCCATAGTTTGGGAATATATATTGTATGTACATTTTCTTTTCTATTTGATGAACTGATTTATGATGTCTCCTGTTTAAGTGCCTTATAAAACTCAAAAACTTATACTAGTTGTATTCTAATATACAATATGGTATTGCTTACCATGGGTTTTAAAATGAGGACCTCACTTTTTTCTGACTTCCTACCAGCTTTCCCATTGATTTGTCTTGTGGGAAGCCAGCAGGTAAGATTGCAAATCACAATTACGTGATTGCAAGACACTGCAAGAATCAGAAATGTGGGCCAGTTGCCGAGGACCTGGTACCAAGATTCCGACAAATGAACCCAACCAGTTCAGCACTCTGAGATTTGTAGTTTTCTCAAAGAACCATTTTATTGAGTACATCATATTGGCCCATTTGAAAGCAAAACCAGCTCTAAATATTTCCTGTGGTTTCTGTATAATTAAAGAATAGATAATTCCCTCCCTCAGTGTCACAGGTCACATTGTCCAATTAGGTGTTCTGGTGCCTCTTTGGCAACTTCCCACGGACTCTGGCCAGCACCTGTTGCGATGACCTTGGTTCCCACGGGATGATGTGTTGCTGTCTAGTCTGACATTCCAGAGCTCCCCCCTCCCACCAATGTGTGGCAGCTGAGAAAAGGAAAGATGGCTGTGGAGGGCCTGATCCGTTTTCAAAGTTGACACCTGGATTGCAATCATGTGATCGTGGGGGCACTCTGACAACTGAACTTTGAGAACCAATCATAAATACCATTTATTCAGCACTATTATGAGTTTGAATGGTTGCTAAATTACTGGTTATTAAACAAAGACCACCTATACGTACATGCCATTGTGTACATCAACCCTATGTCTAGTATAAAATTAAAATGCCAATTATAAGTATTCAGTAGTTTTAGAAGGTTGTTTGCAGCATCTTGTTCAACAGGTTCTTTTTTTGGAACATGGGATTTGCAAAGACCTAGTAATACTTTCCCTATTTCATCATTTGTGGTTTGATGCAGTTGTGTCGGTGTGCAGAAAAGGTTTAAATTTTTGGATTGATTTAGTAGGCAATTTGTATGGCGTTGTATTTTTATTGTACATATTTCTCCTGAGTTCTGTGAATTATCAGAAGTTTACAAAATGATTTATGAATAACCACACAAATTAATAGTTCATCGATGAGATTTTATTCCATCCTATTACAGTCAACCCATGTAGTTCATAATCCAATTATATGGAGGATAAAAATATTCATATAAAACAATACAATAATAATATCACAACCTATTGCTAATTATTGTAATACTGTGATATCCTTCATCCACATTTATTTGTAGTGCTTCACATTTTAAACTAGGCAATGGGGGAAATGACTAAGGACCTTCCAGAATAGTCATGACTTGATAAGATTCTGGAATATTCTAAAGGGTAGGCTGATGTTCATTCCGGAGCAAATTACAGTAACAGAATGCTTGATTCTATGCCTCCCCTTCTTGGATACCACAGTATATTGAGATCCATAGCAAACATTCTCTGTTTTCATGCATTCTGTCCTATAAAACATCTGTGCAGCTGCATTTTGTACCAGCTGAAGTTTCAAGGTGGACTTTTAAGGACAGTATCATATAGAGTAAATTACAGCAATCCAGCAGAAAGGATGGGAGTGACTGTCTTTTGTGTCCTTTACTTCAGGAAATACCACATCTCTCACACCAGCCAAAGTTGGATAAAGATCAACCTGGTTGTGGCCTCTACTTGATCCTCAAACAAAAGCCATCAGCCCAGGAGGTCCCCCAAGCTGTTCTTTCAAATTAAATACAACCTAGCCCAGAAATAAAGCCTTTCCAACCATTTTCCACTTAATAACTGCAGTAGAAGGGAATGTGCTCAACTGCAAACACTGGACAAATCAGATAGTTTCACTGTCAAATATTAGCATTCAAACAGGAAGTCAAATGATTAAAATATATTAATTTTTGTTACCATTATGATATATAACAGTAGCTGTCTGTTGTGGATGTACCATAAAAGACTTTATGGCTTGTGAAATGGTACTAATGTGTAGATCAGCCCTTTAAATACTAATTTACCAGTGAAGTCATAAAAGAAAATATATGCCCTTTTTTCATGGATTAAAATTTTACTAATTAAAGCAAATTAATATAAGCAAATGTACTTAGATTAATAAAACAGAATGGAATTACATAACCTCTAAAGTTGTGGCAATTTTTTTAATTTGTCAAGAGTGTTTTAAATAAGTTGCATGTTACATGCTATGTTGAATCAATATGTTTTTCTTATGTTCCATTGGGAAAATGAGCTCATCTTTTTTCTTTTTGGATTTGTTTAGGTACGACACAGAGTATCGGATCAAATCATGGCCCTGAAGATGAATACACTAAGCAGTAATCGTGCAAATATGTTGAAAGAAGTTCAGCTCATGAATAGACTTTCACATCCAAACATATTAAAGTAAGAAAAGGTGTGTGTGTTTGCATGTATGTGATTGTGTGCTCACAGGTGCATCTGTCTGTGTAGGTTCAAATTAATTTTAATTTTACTACATGCCGCATATGGTCCTTTATGTTTTAAATATTCTTTTTGGAAGCTCAGAAGCCAATGTTGTCTCAGGCTTATGTATATTCTTAGTTCCTTGTCTCTTTCTATTATTCTTAATCCTTTCTGTTCGTCTGTGGGTCTTCTTTCTATTCACTTGCCTCCTGGATCAAATAAATTTATGAAAATATTAGTGAAAAGCAATCAAATAATAGTTTAATCAAGCATGTTGGCACAAAAAAATCACACTTCAAATTGTTATGGCATGGGAGTCAAGTTTTGACTTGTTGAAGACCTAACCATATAGCCTCTATGCATGTAGATACAGCATTTCCCCTGGGACTGATAGGAGTGAAGTGGGTATATATGTGCATGTGTACGCAGGTATAATCTGAGAAAGCTGTTGAATTAACTCTCCTTTTAGCACAGCTATTTCAGCATTTTAATGCTTCCTTTGCTTTAATGACCTATGGCACTAAAAGAGTCCCTTTGAATCCTTTTCACAGTCCTGCAAAATGTAAAACGTAGATCCTGGGAACTAAGCTACACAGAAAGGAGATTGGCTTATGTTCACATCTGTTGTTTAGGCATCTGTTTGAAACATAAGGACCAAATGTATTGGAGTAGTATATGAATGTTCAGTCTAAATACTGATGTACATGTAGGGTTCATTCTTTTGTACAGATTGAAAACTGCTACAAAGGTCAGGAAGTAAGTATTGCTTGCATTAATTGCTTTCCTAATCACTTTTATCTCTCAGGTTCATGTCTAGACTAATTAGGGAAATACGTTAGCTATGAGGAACCTTGCATTAATGTTACATGCCCTTGAAATATGTTATGAATGCTATTAACTTCTATACACATAACTACTAATTTAATTTTTAGCTTGCACTGGAAATTTCTGGAGTATAACTGAATAGAATTCATGGAATGTTAGAAAACATAAATTTATTAAACTTTATTTAGTAAATGTTTATGCGACCCATTTCCCCTATAGGTGACTCTGGGCAGCTTACAGATTATATAAAGACAAGTAGAAAAATAAAGTATTAAAACTATGCAAATTAAAAATTTAAAACTATACAAAAAAAACAGGACAGGGATAAAGTCTTCTTACCCCATTAATACTTCCTACGGTGAGTGCCCCCCTTCAGGCCCCAAGCCAACTGGCAAAACCAAGTTTTAATCAGGGCTGTTTTAACACAAGGGCCTGATAGGCATAGGAGCCCCATACTAATCTGTGTATGTTAACCCTTCAGTGCACCTTGTATCATATATTTATGATATACATATTTATTACATTTTACTGCATTTTTATTAATACTAACATGCATTAATAGAAATTAACACTGATTTTTTCGCGTAGATGATGAGGTGAGCCTGCACATTATTCTGTGCAGGCTCATCATTCTGTTCAATCCAATGAGTTCATAGATATATCTAATGAACCTAATGACATACTTATTGATTATATTTATACGTTGTAGGTGAACATAGGTATAGGGCTATGCATAGATTATTAGTGATTAAATCTGAGGTTCATTCACAACATTGAACACTTGTACGCTAAGCATGTAGTACTTATTTTATCGACCATTTACATTTTTATTCCTGTGAGTAGTTGTCATAGGGGCCCTAGTACACTGCTTTGCCCAGGGCCCATAATGCTGTTAAGATGCCCGGTTTTAATACCTTTCCAGAAGGTCAAAAGGGCGATAGCAGTTCTCATCTCCATTGGTAAAGTATTCCACAGGGATGGGGCCACGGTAGAAAAGGCTCTTCTCCCTGATCCTGCCTGCCAGAATTCCCTAGCAGATGCATCTGGAGCAGACTTCTTCCGCTGGCGCCAGTGGGCCAAGCTAGTCCCATTGGGGCAAGATGGCCTCTCAGATAAGTGATGGCAGCTTGTCCAGCTTTAAAGGGTAGTAGCAAAAATAATCAAAAACTCAACATGTATAGCTGTAAATATTTATTATGTTTATATTAAAAAATCTAAAGCAAATTCCATTCAAATTTTATGCTACCTAGAATACATATTCCTATTTTAAAAATCTTTTAAAATAATAAATATATAAAAATTTTAAGTAGTATGGTGGATGTTGGATCTCTTCTTCCTTTATGTGAGTTGGAATCAAGGAAATAATAAATATTCTGATATAATGTATTGCTTTAAAATATAATACAGAATAGTCTGTATGCAGGTCATATGTAACCACTAATCTGCATTTTTCTCCACATCATGCACCTTAAATTCAGTTGTAAAATAGATTATCTTTGGATGTACCGTTTCTAGCAAAAATAAGAGTACAATTTGATACACCACGCTTCTGTGAGAGAAAATGCATTATTCATTCCTATTTTCTTGAGCTAATATTTTTGGCCTTGCTCTTCTGCCCTAATGATATTACCAAGAAACTTCCCTGCAATTTTAAAAATTATTGGCTGCTAGACTATTTGCTAGTCCTTTGTTACATCCAGATTGTAGCTATTTACATCCTTGTTTTGAAAGATAGAGGTACAAGCAGGGAATGTACTTCTTTCTTCAATCTCACCTCAGGGGGTAAGATGTTCCAAAGGGGAGGAACCACAGGAGAAAAAACTCTTCTGGACTCTAGCAGCCAAAATTCCCTGATTGACAGAGCCAACAACATGCCCCCTCTGCCAGTATCAGTGGGATGGGCCAGTACCATTGGGATGGATTCCTCAAGTAACCTGGCCCCTTTAAAGGTAATAGCCAACACCTTTAATTGCACCAGGAAATAAACTGACAGTCAGTGCAGCTCACAGAGCAGTGGAATAACATGGATCACCCTAGGGACCCCAAGAACTGCTCATGCAACCGCACTTTGACAAGTTGTAGCTTCTGAATGCTCTTCTAAGGGTAGCCACATGTAGAGTGCATTGCAGACTCTGAAATGTGAGATGACCAGGACTTAAGTGACTGATACAGGCACTCCCTATGAAGGAAGGGTTACAACTAGCATACAATGCAAGATTGGGAAAAGGCTCTCCTAGCTGTGACTGCCACCTGCTTTTGAGGTCCAGGAGAACCCTGAAGTTGTGGACCAGATATGTTTGAGGTAGTGCAACCCCACCCAGAATTAAAGTCTTGAAGCTCTGTGCCTCCAAACCCATTCAGTTTTGCCAGGATTCAGCCAAAGCCTGTTGTCCCCATCTGGGCCCTGACAGCCTCCAAGTTCCATGAGAGGATAATGACATCAAAGACCTGGAGGCTTTCACTGTCCAGGAAGGGCAAAGATCTAATTGACAGGTGGTTCCATCTCTTAAAGTTTCATCTCCCAAGGAAAGTTTAATAAGTTTTTCCCCCTCATTGCAGAGAACTGATGATCTTTGTGGTCCTTTCCAACCCAATCATTCTATGATTGACATTAATATTTTAAAAAATGTGAACACGAAATCTCAAGATTAAAAATATAAAACAAGCATTTGTGTAGATAATAAACTAAGTCACGCATGATTTGTGTGTTCTTTTTCTCTAAATGAATCAGCTTAGTTTGGGGAGAAAATGAAGTTATAAAATCAGAATAAATAGTTATGCTTCCAAAACAATCATGTTTAATTTTGTATCTAATTTAGAATGTACTGTTAGTCATTCTCTTAACTCTGTATTGTCAGACTTAAATTATTAAAGCATCTTGATATGACATATGCTTATTCAAAGGTTTTAATTTAAAAAAATTAAGTTATGTTAATTTTTATTGTTTTTTTCTTTGATTTTTGTGAGTCACCCAGAGTTATTGAAAAGTGGATGGTATACAGATTTAATAGAGTAGTAATCATCATCACTGTATACCATGCCAATACATTATAACATCCTATGTTCTTGGGAAGAACTTGAACTTGAACACCAACACCAGCTAAAGAACTGGCAGCTCTGATGTCACATTATTGTGTATACAATAGCAACTTTGCCAGAGGTTACTATATATTACAGAATATTCAGAATTGACACTGGTAAAATTTATAAATCACTTTCTACTGGTGTTTGCTTTTGTAACCTTCTAAACAGATGATTGAGTTATTACTACTTGTGTTATGCCTCCATAGTTGAACATTGCTGATAGTAGTTTTCTCTTAGAAATGAGCTTTTACTACATGCATTTTACAGAAATGATTTATTTGTATCCTGGTTTAAAGTATCTGGTATTTATTTGTTTTATAACCGTGCCAAGGAAAATATAAATTGCTTTGCATTTGAAAAATTTCAGCTTCAATTCCTGGCATTTCTCAGTTAAAACCATTATTGATTATCAGTGCTGGGAAAGTTCTCTTATCAAAAGCCTTGAGAAATTGTTGTCAGAATAGATAGTATTGAGCTAAAAATAAAAAATGGTTAACTGAGGATCTGGCATGTGCTCTTTTTCTATTTGTAATGAGTTTAATTCTGCAGTTCTTCATTTTTTACTTTGCTTGGTTTTTGTAGAAAATGTGGCTATTACTAAAACCTCTTCAAGTACCTAAGTTCCCCCAAATAAGAGACATTAGAAATATTTTAAGTGTAGTTATTTTTTTCTTATTCTACCTTTATTTTATAAATAACTCAAGGCAATGAACATAAGTGATGCCTCTTCCTCCTCCTATTTTTCCCCACAACAATAATCCTTTGAAGTGAGTAGGAGAATTGTGACTGGCCCAGATTTACTTTATAGTTACACAAATCTAACAATTCCCTTGCTAATTAAACCCATTCTGAGCCAATTAAACAAAAATGAGTCATTCCAAATGTTCCTTTTTACATTTCATCTGTTTTTGTTTATTACAAAAGAATCCATATTTTGGGAGTATTATTGTATGTTAGTATTTAGGAAGGAATAAAATATTATAATTCTTTCAGCAAGTTTTGCAGAAGAATATTGTAGATTGGAAAAGAATCTGGATCAGATAATGTATTTCTGAATCCATCATAATAAGATTTTAATAAAGTTGTGAAAGTAAAATTCAGACATATCATGTAAACACTTTCAGATAGGGGGATCTTGCAAAAGAGCTTTATATGGACATAGAGATCCAATATATACTGTTAGTCTTTCTATTTGCTAATTATTCCAACACACTTTTAAAGCCACCACTCCTGTTTTACACTATTGTTGCCATTTGCAAATTGTTTCAACATAGTATTGTTTACCTGTTGGTGAGTTTGGAGCTTTCAAAAAATCTTTTTCTAAAGATAGCTGAATCCAGAGGATGTCAGTCCCTCAATGCTAGCTTTTTTCTACTTCAGAGGCCCATTACTGCATTTATTGCTCTTAAAACTTAATACTCCAAGAATTCGCAGCCTTCCCCTTTTCCAGCACAAAGCAAATAGGTTTCTGGAGTTTCTTTCAAATACATGCCTAGTCCATGTTTTCATCACATTTATTTGCATATTTCTGGTGACATGCAAAATGCTTTGCTTCACAGACTTCTATGGAGGTGATTAAAAGGAAAGATTCAGTTTTTAAAATTAATTAGCACATCAAGAGGTTTAAAAAGCCTTCTCTTCATTATGTGCCAGATTGGCACTGCAGAGTGAACCCTAGATATGCAATACTGTTTTTTTTTAAAAAAAAATCTATGAGGTGTTCTTCCAGCAAATTGACAGCTTTCCAGTGATGATCAAGAAATGGAGGTTAATGTCATCTCTGATTTGCAGTCACTATGCAAGGTAAAAAAAAATCATATTTGGAAGAGCTGATAACTTAATTTCTACAGTTCTTCAATTTCTTTACCTAAACCAATATGTAACTTGTTTTTCTACTTTGATAGCCAGTCTTTTCTCTCCCCAAAGCTGACTAGCAACAAAAGGATTAAAAAGTTGCAATTAAATTAAAACACTGAGTTAGTACTTTGATTAAGATCTTAGTAAACAGGAAATAAGTACTTATAAGAAATAAGTGATCCTTTAATTATCAGATAATTTATAATTTTATAGGTTAAAAAACTATCATGAATTATATTTAGAAACCATTTTTTAACAGTGAGATATTTCATTTGGTAGATTCTGTTAACTACACTGAGAATTTAGAATTTAAATAAATTTTCACTAAAGTTTTGTGTGTAATTTGAAAGTATGGATCCATATCTTTAAATATTATTTCTGGCTGCAAAATTGTTTTCCTAACTACATGAAACGGTTGGAAGTCGTACCTAGTAACTAGTACATGTATGCTCTGTTTAGATTAAACTTAAGAAATTTCAGGAACAATTTCTATAATAAAGTTGGTTTTCCAGTGCATCTTAATATGTTTCTTTCTGAAAAGCTGACATAGGAAAATAAAAATTTCATAACATTTCATAAATTGACATTCAGTCAGCATTTTCTATTTTTACAAAGAGGTTGTGAAAGTAAATTTTGAAAAACAAAAAGGAGGTTTTTAGCTTTACGTTCCATAATTAATGATATTTCCTTTGAAACTGAATATTCCAAAATATAATTATATTAACCACTTTATACTAGCACAACCACAATCACTTGAAAGTAAGTTTTCATCAAAGAATCCATGTGCTACACTAATCCAGTCTAATTAAATCTAGATTTAACTTTAATTACAAGTTAAAGTAGTAGTGTTTTACACACACACACACACACACACACACACACCGATATAAACTGGTTTTCTTATTTTTGCTTAGTTTCTTATTTTTTCGGGACTCTAATTTGATTAATTTGGGGATGTGTTTGATCTTGTGAATCCTGAGGAAGAGAACAGCAGTTTAGACTCTGTCCCTTCCTGATTAGTGAAAGCCTTTGAGGAGGTGGCAGGAGCTAAGTTGGGACAATAGTGAATTCATCTTTGAGAGGGGAGGTATCACTACTCTCTTTGAAACCATACTCTTTAAGAAACTATCATTCAGTCTGATATATTGGACAATTTTTGTGGAAAGGAGATAAGAGAAAGTGGATGGGATTATACAGTAATAGGTCATCTCTGAGGAGACTGAAATTGAGGCAGAGTGACCTTCATGTTTCTGTTTGATCTGTCTATAGCTTTTGATACTATCAATCATGCTATCTTTTTGAGACATCTGGGCGGGTGTAGAAGCAGGGGAGGCATTGTTTTCTCCTCCTTTTTGAAGGGACAACTTCATTTAGTGTGGTGGGAAAAGACTGAAACCTGTGCCCCTCAATTGTGGAATGCCACAAGGCTCACTGTTCTCCTGTTTAGTATATACATGACACCACAGCAAATTCTGTTGGTACAAGCCTAGATTTTATTGATATGTTGATGATATCCAACCTGACCCCTAGATCAGTGGTGGTATTCAGCTGGTTTGCACTGGTTCGGGCGAGCCAGTAGCAAGGATTTGGCGAGGGTCGCCGAATCGGTAATAACTTCTGGCTGGCCACATTCCCGACCCAGTCACTGGTCCCCCAATCATTGGCTTGCCCTATCTGCCTGATGCTCGCTCACTCCGCTCATCTGACACTAGTCCACCCAGTCACTCCTTAAGTTTTTTTTTTCCCTCCCAACAATCAACTGTTCCTACGATCAGCTGCGCCGGGATTCCCCTTGCTTACTTACTGCTTCGCCCAGGAGTCTTTCCTGAAGCCCAAGGAGGCAAAAAAAACTCCCTCCGCCCCTCCTCCATTTTTTGCCTTCCTGGGCCCCAGGGAGGCCCCAAAACAAAGCGTATAGGGGAGCTGTGCCCCCCATGCTCCATTTTCTGCCTTCCTGAGCCCCAAGGAAGCCTTCTGGGAACAAAAACGCCTCCTGGGAGGCTTTCCTGAGGCCCAGAAGAAGCATAGGGGGGGCTGTACTGGTGAATTGTGTGCTTCTCACAGTAGGCTAATTGGAATGGCTTATAAACCCAGTAAATAAATAAAATAAGCTCACTAATAGGCAACTCAGTGCTGAGAATTAACTGCAATTCAAGACAGATTTTCATAAATACCAGCTTTTTAGTTTTAAAGGAATGATATTTGAGAATATAAAGTACCACTTTCTTTGTAAGTTAGTTTTTCAGATTTATTTCCTACTTTTATTGTTGAAATATATTTTTAGTTCTTCAATGAAAAAATCCAGAATTTGGTATTGTCCTGAACTGAATGATAAATGTATATTTGCAGTCATCTGAGATGACAGTTCAAAGCTATTTTCCCAAAAGCAATATAAAATACTAAGAACTCATTTGCATACGATATAACATCAACCATTTTGTTTTTCAGGTTTCATGATATTTAATCCGGACCTCCATTTTCAAATTCAGTTTATAAATTTTTTTGAAAATGTCTGTGTTAGAAAATGGTTAGGTAGCATAAGGAATAGCAGTTACTAAAATAGCAAAATACCAAAGAAACATTTGACAGAGGTACTTGTCTGATGTTAAAAGAAAAACAACATATTGCCCAAGAACTGAATGGTGGCAATAATGTTTAAACCAGTGGTCCCCAATCTTTCCGGCTCTGTGGACTGGCAGAAGTGGTGGCGTTGGGAGTGGGAGAAGGGATGGTTTCATGCAATTGCCTGCCAGTTGTGCGGTCCGGTTCCCAATGGGCCGCAGCCAAGTACCAGGGCGAGGACTGGGGGTTGGTGATCCCTGGTCTAAACCATAAAGTACAAAGCCAGTTCATTGTTGGTTTTTGTATACAATCATGCCTCAGACTTTCTGCTCCTGGGATGCATGATTCCATTTCACTCATTGTGACTTCTCCATTCCCATCATTTGTTCCTCAGTGCAGGAACTGTTTCTTCTCCTTCTCCCTCTTTTATGTTTCTTAAGTTTTGGCAAGTGACTACGAAACAACTGAGCTCTGGATTCCTTTCATTTTGAATAATATTTTATGTACACGTGAGACTCAAAGGTGTATTATGGATGGAGGCCAAAGTTCAGCTGCTTTCTAGCCAGAACAGGTGATTTTAGAAAATAAATACATAAATGCTGTCCTCTCCAATTCTTCCTAAAAAAAAATTAGAGACGGGAGGGTTGGTGAACAACTAGGAAGATGTGTTCATATGCAGTAAGACCTATAAATGTCATATAATTACGTTCTAGTGTATAAAATCAATACTTTCAATTAATGTAACATTTTGCAATAAATAGGACATGTTTTTTCTAATTTTGTTATAATGTTTTATTAGTATTGCATGTAAAATTATGTGTATTCTTTTGGCTACAAGTCTTTAAAATTGTTTATTACTATTTAACAAAGAATCATTTGGTACTCTGCTTAAAATGATGGATGGTATACTTATCTATATCCGCTTATTATTCCAGTTCTAATTTATTAACAAGTTTGTATCATACAGGTAGTCCTCAACTTATGACCACAATTGAGCCCAAATTTTCTGTTGATAAGTGAAACATTCATTAAGTGAGTTTTGCCCTATTTTATTACCTTTCTTTCCACATTGTTAAATGAATCACTGCCCTTGTTAAATTAGTAACATGGTTGTTAAGCAAATCTGGCTTCCCTATTGACTTGGCTTATCAGAAGGTCGCAAAAGGAGATCTCATGACTCCTGGACACGGCCACCATCATAAATATAAGTCAATTGATATGACCATGGGGATGTTGTAATGGTCATAAGTGTGAAAAATGGTCATAAGACTTTTTCATAAAAAGTTTAAACTTTTTATGAAAATGTGAACAATTACATACATTCTCAGACTTCTACATATATTTAAGTATAGGACAATTGGAATTTAGTTCCTATTCTTAAATACACTAATTCATTATTTATACTTGAATTTACATACATAGCAGTATATTTGATTATAGAAGAGTTGTGTAATATTTTGGAACTGGTGTCATCCAATATTTCTAATTTTTTAAAACTGTGTATGTTCTACAATGATTCAAAAATAATAAACCCCTAAAAATCCACTTTTTCTGATTTAAGATTTTACTCTTGTTTTGTAGGTTTATGGGTGTCTGTGTACATCAAGGACAATTGCATGCCCTTACTGAGGTAAGCTAATTACCTCTCCTTCTCTCGGCTTTGCAAAATTTCTTATGGTGATGCTAAATAATGTATTTAATGAAGTTGATTAGTATAGTTCTGACACAGGTACCAGAGATACAAAATAGTACTTTCCAGTATGCCCAATACTTGGAAATGGTGTAAAATGATACTATTATCTATGATATCAACACTTGCTAAGAAATCAAAGAGTACTAGGAGGGTCTTGTATTCACTTTCCCATTTTCACGGAGTCATCTAAGGAAAGCAGTGTAATCTGGGTGCTGCATTCATTTATGAACACAAATCAGATTGGTTAAAGTTTTTTCTGCAATTGCAGCCTCACCACCTTCTCAGTAGCTTTCCCCAGAAAGAGAAAGCTGAGAACTGATAAGCTTTCAAGAAGTAGTCTATTGAGACTTACTCAGATAATGCTCATTTCGGAGTAGATCACAAAAATTTTATTCTCCAGATGCATAGAAAATTCCTCAGAACAGCTCTGCAATTATTTTTCTAACTCATCCTTCCCCAGTAGGTTTCTGGGTTCTCTGTCTGACACATAGATACTACATTCATGTGAGTGAGTGTGATTAGGCAGATCAAGCTTTATAGAATGATTGTAGCAGATGTTTTTAATCTGGCATGAACACATTTTTAAATATCTTATCAAAATAGAAAATGTCTGGCTTTATGGTTGAATCATTTTTATCACTTCCGATTATATCATATGGCATTGAACTGAAATATCTCTTAAAGGCAACACAATTTTTAGAATATAAAGTGGGATATTAACATCTGATAGCTACATAGCATTCCTATAAATGACTGTATACCATTATCTGTAGTAAGTAGCATTAATATACAGTTGCAATGTATTTTGTATCGGTCTGTATAGATTGTTTTTCTTTTTTATTGATTCTTTTTTAGCCATTCTTTTAACAGATCTTTTATTTTTATGTATGACGCTATGCAAAGATATGAATGCTGCTTCTATTCTTAGTTCCTTACATTTGTGTTCTGTCAGAAGCCTCGCAGGCCACAATAAAAGAAGAGTAAAATGCTTAATTTAGGTTTGTAGGCTGAAACATTAGGAAGATGCTTTGAGAGTTTTTGATAAGAATCTTTATGTTCAGAAAAGATATTGAATTTGTGAATTTTCACATTATCTTAATTGGGTAATGTTTATTCACTTATTTAATATGCACCTTATCTTATTGTTGCATACCTTGTGGTAGTCTTCCCCTCCTTGTCTATTTTATTATGCTGCTGTCATTAAATCTCCTTTCTAGTTTTAAAATATCTAAAATAACAATACTGGGTAGAATATGGAACAAGATATACAGTAGGTTGAAACAAACACTTGGTTAACATAGAAACAAGGGACAAGTTGATTTATATTAAATAATTTAAAATGGGTTGACTTCTAGAAAATACCTCTGCTATCCTGTCAATATTAACCAGTCCTGATGATAAATACTGTCTTCCTGACAGGAGTATGTATTCTGAGGTTTGGCCTTCGTTGAGTTATTCCACCTCCTAAATCCACATCTACTTCCAACCTCCTCTTCCTGGAGTATAACCTAGGAGGAGGTGTCCTGCATTGCCCTCTTTTGATTGGCTCTTCTTCCTCATTGCCTCAGTTGCCCCACTCTTTCGCACAATGAAAATATCTTTAGACATGCTTTTTCTCTTAGCAAACTCATTGTTTCTGAAATATTGTAAGGGCAAAGTAAAGTAGCTCTTTGATTAAGAAGCAATCCCTTTACTAATCAATTGTTGGCTGTTCTTGTGACATATTTGTGCATATTTGTGAGTGTCAGTTATACTTTAGGATTTAGTGAAGGAAAATGAAAGATTGCTATGAATATAATGGTATCACAGACAGAAAATCTTGTTTAATGGGCAACCTGGTATGCTGAACTTAAATTCTCAGCAATTTTTACTAACTAAAGCAAAATGGGAGTTGAGGGTATTTATTTTATTAAGAGTTGATTACCTTGATCAAAATCTCTGAACTTTGTTTCATGATTTTCTGTTTGATCTTTGCTTTTCTGTTTGATCTTTGTTTGCTTCTAGTTGCTTATGCAGTGTGGAACTAGAAGGTTCCATACTGTCTTTTGCTTTCCAGTTGCAATATATAAAAGTAGGAGCTATTTCCTATTTTCTTGTTTGGATCATGGTTTTCTTACATGTTAGTTTTACTACATTTTCCATACATCTGTTCATTAATTGTAAAAGAAGTCTTACATGTAATATTTTTGTAATAGGAATGTCACATTTTATATCTGTAAAATGAAACTTCAGCTTGCAGAATTTACTGCCATTGGGATTCTTCTGTAGAATGTGCTTATGTGTGTCTTATTTAATGCTGCAGGCCAGAATTGAGAAATGAATATATCACCACACTCCAATTTGGTGTACCAAATATCCAAGGACATGGCATACACTCTTGGGTTTGATATTTTTTGTAATGTCTGGTTTTTAACTGGTGGTTTGCTTTGTTGTGACTTCCATTGTTTGTTCTCTATTCCTGACACAAAAAAACTGATTTTGGGATTGAGTGAGAAGGCTGTCGATTTCATTGGGAGAAGGGATATGTAGTACATGTGATTTTATTACTTACTGAAGTAGCACCTGCTTCTTCTGTAAGAAGAATTAAGGAAAAGAATTACAAAATTAAAAAGATTTTTGTCTCTTCAGTTAGATGGAAGACAAAAAATACAATAAAATGAGCTTATTGCACTTATTCTAATCCTTGTAATACCACTGCAATGAATGCAGAAATTGTGTAGTGCAAGAAAGTGCCAAAATTTTCCTGAAGTATTGGATAAATACAAGCAGTAGACAACATGATAATGGGAGCTCCTATTTAACACAAACATTCTGAGCACTGGTGATAGTTGCTTTGATATTGCTGGGAGATATGGATAGACTTGTCTCTTTAACACAGGCATCCCTTCAAGATCAAGTAATTTGGTGGAAGATACATACTGCTTAGTTTGCACTGGATCAGGGAAAAATCTGGACCATGTTCACCAGTATTAAATGAAATATTTATTGTTGTATGAGAGTACTTTTGTTTGAAACAAAGAAGTCATGCTGTACTTTAAAAAAACCCTTAGTATTATTTTTGGCTTGGATACTGTCTTCAAATGATTCAGATACTTTAGTGGTGAAGTCTCTTGAGATCTTAATGCATATTTCATGAAATTATTTTTAGTAACTGTCATGGCCTTTTGAAAAAATTGAACAGAGTTTACCACTTGCACTGCACAAATAGAAGTTATTTCATTACTGAAATGTGATGGCTTTTTCTTATTCAACATTTCTCTGTTGAATGCATATGCCTGTCCTTGATTTTAAAAAAAGAACCCCTAAATGAAATAGTTTTTATAAAATCACCGTTGAAGTGTGTGTCATTTTTCTAGTAAGCTCTGATTCTCTGATTCCTGGGGAAGGCATCATAGAGCTTTAAATGATAAAGATTTTCCTCCCCTCAGGCACTCAGGTTCTTGGATGAGGGTGAGAAGTTGTGGGGAGATGGGAAGTGGAATGGAAGAGAGATTAAACACGAACAATTAAGTAATAGAGAAGTTAGTCACGTTTCCCCTATAATGAGAATTTTTAGAGAAATTTAAAATAGCTAGCATCAAGGGATTATGAATTCTAACATATCTATAAAATTAAATATGTTGACTATGTGTCCCCATTTTTTGCAGGATGTAATAACGCCTATAGTCTGTGAGTGACCTGTCATTCTTGTTCCTTGTCTCTGTAAAGATGCAAGGTACACACAGATGGATACATTCTGGGATCATCCATGTAGTTTCTTTTTGGATAGAATGCTTACTGCATCCCCTGTCTCCTTACTGTTTTGATCATCCCTAGTCATGGAAAAGTCCAGGAACGCTGCTTTGCCAGCATAAAACTCTCCACTATGTGAAATACACTCCCAACAACAAAGCTGATTTAGCAGAAGTAATGGAGAAGCTTTTCTAGCTTTTTAGTGAGCTTGTTAATTGGTTCACAATGAATTCTTCCCTTGAAAGAATCCCGTGACTGCCCAGTTCCTCCACAACACCTCTACACAATATCTGTTATTGCAGCCTCTAGGGGTGAATGTTTAATATGGCACCATAGAGATACAGAAAAAGAGATAGATAAATGCTTGTTAGGGGAAGGAATTGGTAACTCCATAAATGTCATGCACACGAAAAGGTGACCAAAGGTTGCTTTCATTGTGAAAGGGAATGGGGCTTTAACACATTGATTGGCTGCAATTGGATGTATTTTTGCATTCAGCTGTTGGATAATTTAAGATGAGAAGTGATTGGATGAAAATATTGTTCATGAACTGCACTGTCACAGAAAATAGGGAAGTGTGAATCCCAGTTGATGAGGATTGCAGGAGGCAAAATATGTACAGTAGTGTTGAAATTATTAGCAGATCCAATGGGTTGCAATATGCCAGAGCTCCTTTGTGGAGCAAGTTGTTTTGTCGCTTCACCTCCATTATGAGTCCTTTCAGATGTAATATTAAATTATAACATGCGGAAGAACATCCCAACAAGCTATTTTTTTCTTCTCCCCTCTTTACATGGAGTTTTTCCTCAATTTCTAGTTTTCGCTAATCTACTTCAAGTCAGTTTCAGAACATGGATTGAAATGGATTTGTGAATCATACTTTGGTAGTGAGTACTAAGTATCATATATAATGAAATACGGTAAGCAGCAAGTTGAGGATAATGATACGAAAAGCATGCAAAATCACAAGAGTCTTGGTTGCCAGTTTTGATGCTAATACTTCTTAACTGAGTCATAGTTTATTCAGATTCTCCCCTGATTGCTCAAAAGATAGATTTTATCTTCTTTCAGTAATACAGTGAACAACAGTATTTTCCCCCTAAGAACAACATTCTTTAATCTGCCTAATGTTTGAATTTGTGTACTTTTATTTAAAATAATATGGCATATTTGGTCATTTTAGCCACCCAGACTTATTAATAAAT